TTCATGTTACCATTTCTCTCGCAAATCTGCCATTCTTTTTGATCTCAGACTTATGTCTGAATCCGGATTTCCATCGATTCTCTTTTCCTCCTCTTTTTGTCGACTTTTCGTCGCCTCTTGGCAGATAATCCCTTCTTTTTAGAGTTGTTCCTTCATGTCCTAAATCTGATCCCACAATAGTTCTCTTTTTGACTCAAACTTGTTTCAGCTAACTACTTTTTACCTAAACTTTTGGTATTCAATCAGAGATGAGACATTTTTGGGTTTAGGCTAATTTGAAAGGTTTATTTAGTTAGTTAAAGTTGAGATTTTATTGATTTACGTAAACTTTTGCTATCTAATGCTACAAAATCTTTTGTCTCTTTTGTACTTTAGCTCAAAACTAATTAATAAAGAAAGAGAATTCATTAAAGAATGAGAAACTCACTGATCTGCTTGCTTACAGTTGCTTTGAGTTTCTCATGAGCTTGCTTACAAAAAGATCAAAGATTCGTGCTATTTCTATGGCTTCAGTTTTTTCGATTCAAAATCAAACTTCTTGTACTTCCATTAAGTTTCAAACTCCTGGAAAGTCTGCGGTTTTTTTCTTTGGCATCTTTCCGATCTTTGCGATCTTTCCGCCAAATCTCAACTGCGTATAGTTTTGAGTAAATAGAGTGTGTGAAATGGATGAGTGAGTTTCTCTAGAGATCTTTCTCTCAGACTTCTTTCAAATCCATTCTCGTTGTTCATATCAAAGCCTCTTTCTCGAATGAGGTGAAAGGGCTTGAGGGCTCATTCACGCGTTTCCCCTTCCCTTCTTCCTCCCGTCAAGATGTGTGCACGGTATCAATGTGGATGGATCGTTTGGTTCACCACTTCAACCTCTTCTTCCTTTCCCTCTTTCACTCACTCATTCACTCTCACCTTTTTCTCTCGATCCGTTTTGAACTCGTACACAGTTTTGAAAAGTTTCCGCTTGATTTCTTCATTTTATATCAATTTCCAGCTTAATTTAGTAAATTTTACATAATCTGCAATCAAAAAAAGGATAAATCTAAATTTTTGAGGTGATAAATCTTTTGTACCAAGACATTATTCATTCTTAAATCTCTCAATTCCTAAAGATGTTGAAGTTAAACGAGCCAAAAGAGTCAAAAGAGGTCAAAGCCAGCATAATAAATAAAAACAAAAGAAAACCTTTCGAATAATTAATTTCTTTAGTTTATTCTCATTAAGTTTTATAAGCAAATGGATTTATAAACCTTTTAATATTAACAGAAAAGGTTTCAGCTTAGCAACTTATTCTTAAACCTCTAAATTTCCTACTCAATTTCCAATTTCCTCATTTGAGTCCATAAATCTTTACAAATTCAACGACAAATCATTTAAGCTTACTTCTATCATCTTCTAGTTCTTTTCTTTATAAACAACTGCTCAATCAAAGCTTCTTCTCTCAAAATACAAATTACTCAATAGTTCAAAATATGATTCCACCTTTGGACGAAAAAAGCTGATGTCAAATTTGCAATAACTCATTCAACTAGCACTTTTTCCTCCGTTTTTCGCGTTGGTTGAACATAATTTATAAGTGAAAAATTGAAAAATCCATCCCGGATTTTTAGCTTTTGTGGCCGGGCTTTTTCTTCTTATGGATGAGAGAGAAAGGCTGTCGACAGAGACTTCCATTTGCTAAATTGCCGCGTTGCCCAGGAGTTATTCAACGCTATGCTTGGAAAAGAATCAAAAGAATCCCTTTTTCTTGTTCTTTTCATCTTGACCAATGAATGAAACAATGAGTAACGATTGAAATGGCCTTACGACATTTTTAGTTTACTAGTTTTACTTAAAAGTAAAGTTCTTTCTGAAGACTGAAGACTTCAGGCTTTCTGTAGCTCAATTTCTAAGGAAAGCAAGACTTTGATGACTGACTAAATGACTCAAGTTTCTCAAAGAAACAACTTGAAACGTTAGAAGTTCACCAAGATTAAATCTGGAATTGAAATCCCGAGCAATTGATTGTGTCTGATGGATGAACGGGATGCCCGTCATAACATCGACATTGCCACGTTTAGCCCATTCTCACCCCTCATTTCCCTCCTCTTTTGATCCCCATTTTTCACTCGTCTAAACATTTTCGATTTCATTTTAAACCTTTAACTTTTGTAAGTTTTTAACAACTCCAACATAATCAGTCACGCTTTTTCTCAAATTTTGAGCATTTTTTTTGAATTGAGCATTTGATAACTTTGGTTCCACCATTTCAATCTCTCCATATTTCTGTTTAATAAACTTTCAAACTTTCCCCCATTTACAGTGAATCGCTTTAAACTCTTTTGAACTTTTATTGATCTTTTTCATGTCACCTTTGAAAAAGGTCTAAATTTTCAATATTGATTTTGCCGTGGTCTCTCGATTTTCCTTTCCCCTTTTTCCCACCATCTATTTGCTTGAAAGTTCTCTCTTTGACATCAAAGTTAACTTTTTAAAAATTGCTATTCAGATATTCATTGCATTTTCCGGGACAAATGCGACCTTTTTGGGACGAATGCTATCTTTTTTTTGCGCACCCGGACATTTGCGCACCTTTTTTTCCGCACCTAGCCCATTAGCGCACCTTTTTTCGCGTTTTAAAAAGCTCTAAAAAGCTAATATTAACCAATTTCTATTTCAAAAGTTGTTTTTCTAGGTAATTTGAGGGTGTCGAATTCAAATTTTGACATAACAGAGCGGGTGGAACCAATTTGAAAGACAAAATCAAAGCTAGATCAAATTACAGAAAATTGTCGATTTTTCTCTTTGTATAACTCCGTCCGTTTGTTTCCACAAGCTCTGATATGTCAAAATTTCGATTCTGCGCCCTAAAATTACCTAGAAAAACAACTTTTGGGATAGAAATTGGTTAACATTAGCTTTTTAGAGCTTTTTTAAAACGCGAAAAAGGTGCGCTAATGAGCAAGGTGCGGAAAAAAAGGTCGCATTTGTCCCACTCCCCATTTTCCTATTTATGCTCATCTTCTTTAAAGCTTTAAACTTGTTTTTTATTTCATTTGGGAATTGAATACTTAAGCAAAGCTTGAAATAAGTTGCTATTTAGTAAAAAGGAGACAGTACATCAATTTTATTCTTTTAAGTTCTTTCTTTTAAGGTAAAAGGCAAATCTTTGTTTATTAGCTATACTCTAAAACGCTTTTCAGCAAAAAAAAAAGAATCGTTTTCATAAGCAATAATATAATGAAATTACTGTTTCGATTCAAGTCAAATAAATCCGCTAAAATGCTATGCATTATCGCGTTTTTCGTGCATTGAATGAAGGAAAAGATGAGCAATAGCCCACATTTATGCCTTTTTCTTCTTGAGTAAGTAAGCAACAACTGGTTCTCTTTCCCATTCATTGTTTCCTTTGATTCACCGTTACTGCACTTTTTCTTCATTTGTGCCATTGCATTTTGCTTTCTATTAGAATATTGGCATAAAATGTATAAACTTAACTCAATTGTTGATTGAAAATCAATCTTCTTGTGCCCAATTTTTGCCATCAAGTTCCAATTTTAGAAAAATCTCTTTTTACTTGAAAGCTATGAGATTTCGGGTTCACCATCGGAAAATTAGCTATTGACTTGGTTAACTATTGACTTGGTTAACTATTGAATTGGTTAACTATTGACTTGGTTAACTATTGAATTGGTTAACTATTGAATTGGGTTACTATTGACTTGGTTAACTATTGAATTGGGCTACTATTGACTTGGTTAACTATTGAATTGGTTAACTACTGACTTGGTTAACTACTGACTTGGTTAACTACTGACTTGGTTAACTATTGACTTGGGTTACTATTGGCTTGGGTTAGTATTGAATTGGTTAACTATTAACTTATGGAGCAGCCTGGCACAAGGGCATTCTGGTATAATGGTTAGGACAGTTGCCCGGTAAACGAAAGATCACGGGTTCTAGTCCTGGCGCGCACAAGTTTTTGATCTGTCATATTTCTAACTACTCCACTCTCAGATCTACCATTCATTTCATTGAATATTTTTGATAAAGCTGAAAGCTTTCATCATTCATTCACGCAAGTTATGGAATGAGAAATGGAAAAAACCGAAGCTGGGCTGTGCAAACGTTTTTATGGTTGAAAGGGGAGCTTTGAATGAATGATCAGATGAGACACCGACTTTCGCTTTGTGTGCAAAACCGCCTATTGTTGCCCGCTCACCGCTTTGACACTGGCTCATGTAATTCTGTTTTCGCGTTATGAGACTTTAATCGTTTACCTCCACAAGATTACTCAGATAATTTTTGAAATTAGCTAGGAAATATTGAAGATATTGCCTTTATCCTTTACCTTTTTCCATTTCTTTGAGTGTTCCTAGGTGGTAATTTGAAGATGAACCATTTCCACGCCGCTCTAATAAAATTTGTAGCCCTAATCATGGAAAATTGTGCTTATTTCTGTTGCGCTTCTCCAAGAATATATATTTCTCATTCTGATGTTTGTTTTAAGGCCTCCTACATTGAATCGTTTGTTTGAACCGCTAAACATCTCTATTCTATTCTATTCTATTCTATTATCGTTCTGGTAGCTCTAACTCTAAATTGAGATTCGATTCAAATTCGGTTGAGAGTTACGTGGTTAGGATTGGTTTTCTCGAATCCTTGGAATAGAGCTTTCTTCTCACTAATTCAAGGGTTGTCCCTCGACACTCGGCTCTCCTTTTTGTGGAAACTCCCAGGGTTTCCATTTCTGACCATCAAATTACTTATTTAGACTTGTTTCTTTCTATCTTTCTATCTTTATATCTTTCTATCTTCCTCTGACTACACTTCCTTTTAGAAAAGAGTTACAATGTCCTAGTGGAAGCCGATTTCAAATCTTGTTGTATCACAAAAATCTTTGCTAGACTATATTCAAATTGAGGCACAATCGGGGGCAGAGCAAGTCCGCTGGTGAGTTTAAAATGATTTAAAACAAAGAAATGATTTAAATCATTTAGTTTGGCGCGCGGGGGTGGGTGCGCAGGATGCGCTTCAACCTGCGACGCGTCTTCGTCCTCTGTCTAATCGCTTTCTGCACAACACTTGTGATTCTATCATTCCCGAGAAGTGAAGGACCCTACGTGGATTCTGGTGAGTGCAATGAAGATTGATATCAGTTTAAAGGAGAGCTTTTGAATAAAGACCAATTCTTATTAAAGCCAAACTATTGGCAGGTTTAGTAATCTAGTTTTTGAAGTTTTATGTAGAAATGAATAGCTCCAATCGATTGGCCAATCCCGAAAATCCCCGGGTACAAATTTACAGCTGAATCTCTTTTTGTAACATCGAAAAAGCAAAGAAAATTGCCTATGTAAAAGGTGTTCTTTGTGCGGCAGCGGAGTCGCTCTCCATCTGGCCAACGGCCGCCTTATATAAGCTGTTTCTCGCGGCCAAGTTTTGGGAGAAATTTTTGCTTAAATTAGGCTGATTTTTTGCTACAAATTTTACCTCATCCTAAAGCAAGATAATTTAGTTTTTATCATCAAATCTAATAAGAACAAATAACTTAAACAAATCGCTTCTTTTCATAAACAAATACACCGTATTTTTGACTAAAAATGATCAATCACAGATCAAAAATTGTCTTTGCTTATTGAATAAACAAAGCATTTCCAAACGTGCTTGCAATGCAAAATTTGCAAAAGAAATCAGCTTAAACTATTTTAGATATCGAAAAAGATCCACAATTTCTACAAGCCGCTGTTCCAGAGGGAAGACATTTCAATTTTGATCAATTGAACACAAAGAAAGGACCACCAAGAGGTCGAGTCTATCCAAATGGAGCCGGTGAACAACTCACCTTCCAGAAACAACCAAATCCACCAAGTTTAATTAAAAACACTGATTATGGAGATCCCTTTGGTAAGCAAATTTCAAATTTTGAACTTTATCTTTTGTTTCAGATTTTACTCCTCCACACGACCAACAACTTTTGAGAAGAATCTATGAAGCAATCAAGAGAATCGATTTCGATGAATTGATACCAAAGGAATGCACAGAGAAAACAACGTTGAAACAATATTGGCTACAGACAGAAGGGTAAGCGAATTAGATGCTAAAATTTAACCAAAGCTCTATCGAAAGTTTTAGAAAGCAAGTGAGCGCTGATGATTCGTGGGAACGCTTCTACTCACACATTGGAAGCTGCGATATGTACAGGTTAATGCTTAATTTAGCTTAACACTGCTTATTAACACTGCTTAATTTAGCTCAACACTGCTAAGCCTAAAGAAAGAAGTTTGATTTTGAAATCCGACTTTTCAGAGATGAAACGGTGATCGACGAACTTCTACGGGATTTGAACAAATTCCCGATCAAGACCGTGCATATTATGGATGGAGGAACGCAGGTAAAATTGGGAATTCGATAATTCGGTGATTGATAGTGAAACAAAAACTTCTAGGTTAAACTCGTCTTCACTTTCGAAAACGGTAAACAAGCCGTTTTCAAGCCAATGAGATTTGGAAGAGATTACGAGTCAGATATCAATCATTTCTACTTTTCTGACTTTGAAAGACATCAAGCTGAGATTGCCACTTTTCATCTTGACAAGTTTGTTTTAATCTTTTAGAATTAATCGTAATCAAAAATAAATAATAATGAATGTTTTTAGAATCCTGGGCTTTCGAAGAGCTGTCCCAACAGTTGGTCGAATTGTTAATATCACTAGTGATCTTTACGACAAAGCTGAGAAAAAGTTGAAGAAAACTTTCTTTGTTTCTCCAGGTTAGAAGCTGGAAATTTTGAAGTAAATGGAATTTAGCTAAAAATAAATGCTTTGTCGGTCGATGTGATTACTATTGTGATACAACGCATGCGATTTGTGGTCTCCCGGACTTGAAGGTGAATATAACATGAAACATAACATAGTTTTTTGCTTTCAGGAAGGATCTTTGCAAGTATTTCTACCCGATGAGGGATCGGTTCCTCGAAAGCACAACAGAAGTCCGTACAGAAGAACATATTCAAAGAAAAATCAGCTCGCCGAATGGCAAACGAATATGGACTATTGTACGAATCAAGTGAAAGCAAAAGGAGTCTACGCTCATGGAAGGAAATTGTTGGATTTGATTGATTTACATATCATGGATTATTTGATAGGTAAATCTAAAGATTTTCAATTGAAATAAAGCCAAAAAAACAGCCAAAAACAGCTTTACATTTGAACAAAACTATTAAGCTGGTGAATTGAAAACTGCGAGACTTTCAGCTAAAATTTATTCAACATAAAACCATGAATTCATTCCAAATAATTTCCATTATTATTGACGACTTCTGCCCATTTTACAGGCAATTTGCGGATTCCTCTTTCGTAGTAGGATTTTGGTTTGTGGGTGAGACAAGTGTGAGACTCAAAAATGGAGGACTGGAGATGTCTCAGTTTGAGCACTTTCTTCAAAAGAAACCCATTTTGGTGTCAATGGAAAAGTTGTAGAGAATCAAAAATCAGGCTTATAGCGAAATTTCCAAAAAGATACACTTAGTAGTTTCACTTAAAATGCAAGTTTTGTGAAAATTCGTAAATTTGGCATTTCTTGAAAACGAGTTTTTGAATCGTTCTGAAAATTTGGATATAAGCTTGATTTTTGATTCTCTACAACTTTTCCATTGACACCAAAATGCGTTTCTTTTGAAGAAAGTGCTCAAACTCAAATAGCTCGCAGTTTTCAATTCACCAACCCAATATTTCAGGAAATCAAGACCGTCACCACTATGAATCGTTCAATGTTTTTGGAAAAATACCTTCCTATGCAATTCATTTGGACAATGGCAGAGCGTGAGTCTTAGGCATTGCAATTTAACTCAATATTTGCAACAAATTGGCCTCTTTTAGCTGCCTTTAAGACTGTTTAAGATTCTACTTTTCAGTTTTGGCCGAACTGACTTCGACGATCATGATATTCTCCTCCCGTTGAAGCAATGTTGCCTGATTAGACCTAGAACTCTTCAAACTCTTCTCAACTACTACTCCGAGCCAAGATCCCTCACAAGAGCTCTTCATGACTCAATGTTCAAAGATCCCGTTCATCCGATTTTAGCTTTCAAACACTATCCAGCCTTAGAAAGACGGCTACATGATGGTAAGTGAGAAAAAACGCTTAATTTCACCATAAATACTCCTTTTCAGTGATCAAAGCCATTGATGGTTGTCTGCAAAAAGTGAGTGCATCGGCGATGGTGATGAACCATTTCCACAATTCGGCTGTTGCTGAAGATCAAGCTGAAGAGGAGTCAAAGAGTGAAGACACAGAACCCGCTCAAGATCCGAAACTTGCTCTACAAAAGCCAAAGGAACAAGATCTTCATGATCCGAATCGGAAATAGTTAATGTGAGTTGAAAATTAACTATTTAAAATGACTTTTTCAGTTTTTCAACCCAAGAAAGTGAGCTTAATCCTTTCAGTGATAATTTTCTTCTTGAAAAATTAGCTCCACAGAAATAAAGATCAAAAAACTGCTCAGTAGGTTGTGGGTACGATCACTCTCTTGTCATAAACACGGACCAACCATAATAACATCACTGCCAGATTTCGAAATCGCCGTGCGTCGAGCCCTTTTTGTAGACCCCTTTCTGCCTGTGTGCCAGAAAGCGCGCGATTACGGGCGCGCACAAAGAACGCCCTCTTGCCGGAGCCAAAAACCCATCTAATAGCTATAAAAACTGTAAAATTTTCACGAAATAAACTTTCAGATACTTGCATGGTCTATAGACGGGTCTTGGGTGAAAGTTCATTCAAAATTATGATCGATATTCAAAAAAATTACCCCACTCTCATGTTCAAGGACCAACCATAATAACATCACTATCATATTTCCAAACTGTTAAGCGGCAAGCCCTTTTTCTAGACCCCTTCCTGACTATATGCCAGAAATTGCGCGATTACGGGTGCGCACAAAGAACGTCCTCTTGCCGCAGCCAAAAAACGATTTAATAGCTATAAAAACTGTAAAATTTTTACGAAATAAACTTTCAGATACTCGCATGGTCTATAGACGGGTCTCGGGTGAAAGTTCATTCAAAATTATGCTCGATATTCAAAAAAAATTACCCCACTCTCACGTGCCACATTCCTTTTGCCTTCTTTATTTTTCCAATTCTCGTGCAAATGTGCCTTTTTCCACAACGAATTGTCTGTATTGCAAAATATGGGTTCACCATTTTTTGTCATTAAAAAAAGTGTTTTGTTTTTGAGCTTATACCTCTAAATACAGATTGTGCACATTATTGTGATATCTAGCCTCAAAGAACAGTGTTTTTAAAAAGAATTTTCCTTTTCCTTTTCCTTTCATTTTTATCCTATGAAAAGTCGCCTTTCTGACTACGTGTGATGTCTTTTTTTAGGAAATTTCTTTTTTTTTTTGAAATTTAGCCTAATTACCGGTGAAAATTTAGAAAATTAGCTTATTTTTAAAGATTTTAAATGGTCCTTAAGCAGCTTTGACAAGTTTTGACAAATTTCGGTGGCTCTTCTTCTCTCTCTGGGTAACTTACTCTTTTTGTTTTTGCTTTCTTCTCTCTATTTCTTTTTTGAACTTTCTAATTTTTTTTGCTCAAAGCATAAAAATTTATTGATAAACCCGTGTTGAATTTTGACAAATATCCATTGTTGATGAAACACTCAAGAAACTTCACCGTAAACATTCACGCCGAGCTTCGTTCGGTACAAGAACACGCTGAAATGAGAGAATAACTTTGAAACTTTTATTATAAGCAAATTCATTATTATTTTATCTTTAGAAAGATTAAATCTCTTTAGCTGAGTCTTTCTGGTTTACCTAACTATTGGGTTGGTGAATTGAAAACTGCGGGACTTTGAACTAAATTTTATTCAACATAAAACCATCAATTCATTCCAAATAATTTCCATTATTATTGACGACTTCTGCCTATTTTACAGGCAATTTGCGGATTCCTCTTTCGTAGTAGGATTTTGGTTTTGAATCGAAAAACTTTCAAAGCCAACTTTGACTGCTTCTTCCGAATCGAAGTGTTCTCCCGCAAGCCCATTACTCATGATCCGGAATAAATAGTAATCAAAAGGGGCGAGGTCCGGGCTGTATGGGGAATGCGCCAAAAGTTCCCAAACAAGGCTATTTATTTTAGAGCGAGTCAGTTTTGCAACGTGAGGGCGTGCGTTGTCGTGGAGGAGAACGATCTTTTACTTGAATTTTGGTTTGTGTGTGAGACAAGTGTGAGACTCAAAAATGGAGGACTGGAGATGTCCCAGTTTGAGCACTTTCTTCAAAAGAAACCCATTTTGGTGTCAATAGAAAAGTTGTAGAGAATCAAAAATTAGGCTTTTAGCCAAATTTCCAAAAAGATACACTTAGTAGTTTCGCTTAAAATGCAAGTTTTGTGAAAATTCGTAAATTTGGCATTTCTTGAAAACCAGCTTTTGAATCGTTCTGAAAATTTGGATATAAGCTTGATTTTTGATTCTCTACCACTTTTCCATTGACACCAAAATGGGTTTCTTTTGAAAAAAAGTGCTTAAACTGTCACATATGACAATAGCCGGCAGTTTTCAATTCACCAACCGAATAGAAAGTCAATGGAAAAAGCCACAGAATCAGTTGTTCTTCTTTTCTTAAACCTTATAAACCATTGAAACGAACTTCAGTAAAAAGTCAATATTTCCTTGCTCAAGTATCTTGTGTAATTGAGCTATTTGGTGTCTGTCAATTGTCCATGGATCAAAACAGATACTTGAATGGGTTTCTTTTGAAGAAAGTGCTCAAACTGTCACATATAATAATAGCCGGCAGTTTTCAATTCAATAAACCCAATAATTGAGATTCTATTAACAAACTATAATCAGGCAAAGACTCACATTTCTTTCTCCTGAAAATCGGGGTCAGTCTCGAATTTGTTTGACTTTTGTGTGTCTTTTTGCTTAAAATTTAAAGTTTTTAAAAGTTTAAGACCAAAAACTCACTACCTTGCTATTCTCAGATACTTTATTTGTTCTTTCGATTCGATTTTCTAACAATCGACCATGAGTGGATTGCCGCCTTGGATGAGGAGCTGGTGGCTGAAATAAGTGGATGAGAATGAAAAATGAAAAACAGATTAAGCGATTAACCGTTTTCTTCAAATAACTTATGAAATTCGAAAGCAAAATCCCCTTTTTACCAACCCGAAAAACGATTTTCTGATGCCGAGCCACAATGTCTTTGGCGTGTCGTCTTTGTTGATCCCTTGCCCATAAATCGATGAATGTGAATTTGCTATTGAAATCCTGAAATTGTCTAGATAGATTTCTAGATCAAAACCTTGCCTCAAAATTGTTTTGATTGGGAATATATGAGCATTGACTTGTGATGCTCATTATCCTCTCTGTTGGATACAATGTGATCGACGTTTGACTTGGTTGACGGCTCATTTCTGAATGTAGAACAGTTTGACAAAGGGATCAAAACAAATAGTATAAAACATTCAAGTTCTGAGAGTAAAATTATGAAGCAAATGGCTGAGTTAAAGTGGAAAAGGCAGGCTTTACTTCTCACGTATCAAGTTCAACACAAATGGGTTTGAATGATCTCATTGTCAGCGAAAAAATCAAAGAGAAAAACTTTTTGTCAGATGACTTTTCGAAAAACAAGGTGTTCTAGATGGAAAAGCAAGGAAATCGGAAAAGAAAAACTCATTGAATGGAGGATATGTCCGTCACTCACTCGTCCATTGATAAGAGAAAAAAAGAAAGAAGAGCACCTGTTTGTTTTAAAGAGGAAATCATTGTCTTTGTGTGGGGAAAGGCTTGAGATAACTGTGATTTGATATCGTGAAGGTGATTGTATTTCATTTCCTGATAGATTTAAGACAGCAATTTTGATCAAGTGTCAAGAAGTTAGAAGGTTTAAACCATCTGAACCAACTATTGATTCTATTTTATTATATTTTCTCGCTAGATTAGTAATTGTGCTATATTCCGAATAAATATCTAATAACCATTGTCCTATCGGTACCCTCTCACGCACTGCACATTCCCGGACTGTGCACTAAAATGTGCAGTGCGTGAGAGGGTACCGATGGGGCAATGATTATTAGATATTTATATATAGCACAATTACTAATCTAGCGAGAAAATATAATAAAATGAAATCATAGTTGGTTCAGTGTTTCGAAGCCAAAGAAAAGCAATACCAAGTGAGCTCCATCCCTTTTTATCACACAAACGAGCTTTAGAGGAAGGACAAGAGGATCAGAGATATTCAAAATCAAAACATCAAATAAGATTTCACAGAGAAGAGCTACTTTTCTGCACAGAGACTGAGCAACAACTTCACAAGACTCAATGAAAAAGAATTCTGCCAAGAAATTTCTCATTCTCTTCCTAAACTCTCTAGATTCAAGTTTTTTTTTCAGAAATACCCCATTATAGTGCTCGGTTCATTTAGATTTGAGTGTCAAAGACTTAGAAATATAACAAAGATGTGTGTAAGACTTAGAAATATAAAAAAGATGAGTGTAAGACTTAGCAATATAAAAAAGATGAGTGTCAAAGACTTAGAAAGTACTTTCAAAGAGACTAATCCGATAGTGAGTGATTAAAAATGAATAGAAGTGTACAAAGTTCACCAAACACTGTTATCTTTTCTCATTGACGCAATTTTAGCATCACATCACCCGATGAACCCTATAATGTCCAAGCAAAATGAGTTCTTCTCAAAATTTATCGCTTCTCCATTGAACAACTGTTTTCTCAAACAGCCACAAGTGCCAAAAGTGTTATTTCAAAAAAAGCAATAGAGATTTATTTCAATTTTTTGGATTTTCATTAGCCATTTTTGTTGTGCCAGAGATTGAGGTGTGAGCTGGGATGGAATGTCGACGACTATCAATGCTCTTGCGTTTTTCCCCATTCACAGCGACGATGATTGGGCTTGGCTGAATTAGTTTTTCTTACAATTAGTTTTTTACAATTGTTATTGTATTGTATTGTTGCTGTTTCATTATTTCTTCAGAACAAAGGTTTTAAGCTTTACCGAGGGATTTGTCGATTTAACATCTGCAGCCTTTGGCGTAACTGAGCCATTTGAAAAGTCTTCGTGATTGTTCATCGCTTCCGAATCACTTCTTGTTGTGATCCCGTTTAACAAAAGATGTAACGAATATTGAGTAGCGCCCAGACAACTATCCAATACGTTTTCCTGTCTCAACGTTAAATCAGGAGTGCTCCCAGTTAGTTGAACCGGCTAAACCTGTTATTTCTTTAACTCTAAATCTTTAACCCTTGCCATTTCCAATTTCTGTAATTTCTTTTCTCTCTTTCAATTTCTCAAACTCACTTCAGAATCTCCTCTCTTATATTCCTTATTGAGGGCCAATATTCGTAGAGAACAGTAAACCGGTCGATGATCAGATTCGGTTAGAAAATCAAGACAGTTGTACTCAAAAGCTTCAATCAATCGTTTGTTTGAAGAAAAATAGAGAACTCGATCCTAAATAATGATGATTTTAGTCGAACTTTAGCTTTACCGTATACGATGGTTGTCTTTTCTTATCGTACTCACAGCGAAGACTTTGAAATTTGTAAGATGGCGGAAAAGTTATCTCAGCTTCTTCAAATCCAGCAAAAACGATGGCTGAAATTCAAAGAAAAACAAGATTCATTGCTAGGAGGCGAATGATCTTGCTTAGCAACAGTAGAGTCATCGAATTTACCTTTTTGCTTAAAATTAAGCAGTTCATCTTTTTCTAAATATCGTCGAACATCGATTACGAAACATAGTCTTCGATTAGGGTTTGGAACCATAACAGTTCCAGTTTGAATTCGAAAATTTAAGTCGCCCATCCAAACTACCACCTAAAGAAGTTAGATTGAATTTCATGACCACCTTTTCTTCATAATTCAAAAAGTTTAAGAAAGTTTACTTTATTAAATAGATACCTACCGTAAATACTGTAATAGTACCCCACTGCCATAATGATGGTGCGGATTGTTGCGGAGTGTTGCGTAGTCTAGCTTTGAACGAGTTTTTCTCGACACTGGTTTAGGCTACAATGCGCGCTTAAGTATCAAAAAATAGCTGAAATTCAGGGCTATTTTTTCATACCAAAGACGCATTTTTTGAAAGTACGGGTGCTTTGCAAAAAATAAAATACTAAAAAACGACTACGACTTTGCGACTACGCGACTGTACAAGGGGGTATTAGGAGTACTATTACAGTATTCACGGTATTAATTTAACGTGCAGTCCAAAACTTTCTCCACACCCGATATTCTTAAAGCAAACGATCACCCGATAAACAATATTCTTAAAGCAAACCCACATCAGCCGCCAGCAGTGAACCATTTCCTTTGTTTTGCTGAGCAATTGTTTGGAAACTTAGCTTCTTGAGAGTTTTATTGTAATCCGCCCAACGTTGTGTGATTGATCCATCTAAATCATTGAATTACATGGTTAATCTAAACCAGTTTACGAGAAAAATGACTGGAGACAAAGGCGAGTGTTCTCTGATAGATTTTGAAGGCAACACCGATCGATCCTTTGGTTCGAACGGGTTTTGCCACCGCATTTGAGGGCACAAATTGAGTATCGGGACAGGCTAAAGGTTTAAATAAACTTAATAAAATAAATATTTGAATCATTTTCTCACCAATAGCATAAGGCACGTGTTGTTTCCTTATAGAAACCAGCATCATTTGACTCCAGTAACGAACAGAAAAGTAGATTTGATGAGTTTGTGAGAGGATTGCGTTTATTTTTTCGAGTACAATCTCGTGAAAGGTTCTAAATGTGATCGATTCTAATTTTAGATTCTAATCAGATTCTAATCAAATTCTAATTACCGAGTTTGAGGTCGAATTTCTTGTAGACCGATGACAATAATATCCTCAAGTCCTTTAGAATCTCGTCTTTCGATTAGGAAACGAGTGAATGGATCAAATATTGAAGATTGCTGAAAGAATTTCTTTAAGAAATTTTATATTTAAAACCTTTTCATTGAGATTCCAAGTGATAGCGAGGATGGAGAGTGAATGGTTTGGAAGGTGTCGACCAAGATGACCATAATCAGGAATAGAGAAATGACCAAATGAAGTAACTCGAGTGACTTTATGACTGTAAATTAAAATATTACCGGTAATAGGAAAGTTAAAATAAATCCGTGTTATTTAAAATCGCATAAACATAACTGAGAAAATACTTGAGAGTTTAATATTTAATATAATGACGCTGCGGAGTGTTGCGTAGTCTAGCTTTGAACGAGTTTTTCTCGACACTGGTTTAGGCTACAATGCGCGCTTAGGTATCAAAAAATAGCTGAAATTCAGGGCTATTTTTGATACAAAAGACGCATTTTTTGAAAGTACGGGTGCTTTGCAAAAAATAAAATATTAAAAAACTTTTGACTTACTTTAGATTTTGTTGTGGTAATAGCATCCATGTGTGATCATCCGGTTGGGTAACTAAGCGAAAGCATAACTATTTGATTGCTAGAATTGATTTGATTGCTTTAAACAAGAAAAGATTGATAGGATTGAATCTTTTTGAGTTTTCTTCAATAAATAAACTCACAATGTGTATCAGTCTCCTTTTGAAGTCGAAGCAGTTGAAAGATTTCCATCATCAGTCGCTTGTTCGGACATGATGACTCCACAAGCATTCCCGAAAAAGCTAAGAAAACTTAAAGAGTCACCAATTCGTTGACGTTTTAGCCAGTAATTTGGTGGGTTTTGGAATTTCGATGTCTAAGTCTATAGCTTATGAGTGGTCCGTAGTCATGGAGACCGCCCCACGACCAGCTGCAATTTTCCACTTCACACAAATCGTTTTTCTATTTTAGGTGTTTATTTTACCGGAAATGGTTTTGAGAAAACAAATAACGATACTAAAATGTTCATTTAAAAGAGAATAAAACAATTTTTTTTGGAATAGTTTTAGAGTTTAAAGCTTTAAAGTCTACAACACTGAATATCTTGACGAACAGAACACTATAATGGGATAAAAAGCAAATAAAAGCAAATAAAAGAAAATAAAAGAAAATAAAAGCAAAAATTCTTTCTTTATCTTCTTTCAGAAGATAAACGAAAGAATACATGAATCATTTGTGCTCTAAAATTTTTCAGATTTTTTATAAAATCATATTTTTAATAATATTATATTGTTTTTAATAATATTATTCTACTGATAATTCTATTGATATCGATTTTATTGATAACCTTCTATGACTCCACACTTCTATGACTTCTATGACTTCTATGACTTCTATGACTTCTATGACTTCTATGACTTCTATGACTTCTATGACATAAAGTTTTTTTTCTTTGAAATGTCAACATTTAGAAATTTTGTTTGCTTCTCTCCCTGGCATTTAAACAATAATTCGATTTTTTTAGAATCACATTTACATTAAACAGTTAAACTTGTTTCATTTTTTAGGAAAAGAATTGTAAGAACTCGTCTTTAGACTAAAAAACGATCACATTTCGAACTTTGGTTTGGTCTATCATTCTTAAGAAGAGCTTGTTAGCAAGAGAAGTTCTCGAGAACGGTAAGCAATAGTAAACTAGTAAAGTTCTATAAAATTTATTATACAGATGATAAAGCATTTGAATCAATGATGCAAAAGTATTGAAAACTTTTGAATTTGGAGGAGAAGCCGCTCGATTGGGTCGATTCAGTGATGTTGTTAAAAGAAAACTTGCCAGAACCTTGTGCAAATGATACCCAATGTGAGAAGAACTCTCTCGGGTCTCTTGAACCTAAATGTGGCTAGTTTTTGAGATATATTGTTATGGACAGTCAGCTGTCTTACTTTGCCCAATGAAACAAATGTCGCAACTGTCTAACACGGATTCCTCAAATTCAAAGAGTCTCCATGGCAAATGAACTCAAAGCATGAAAGCACTGTGTTACAAAATGCTCTATGGCGGTTCTCTGACGTTTCTCTTACATTTCTTTAAAATTAAAACTTCACTCGTTTAGTCTGTGAGTACACTAATGAAAATTCTTCAAAACGTTGCCAAAGAATACCTGAAATATAATGGGATAAACCCAGAGAACTCTTATTGGCGTGAGCAATTGAATTCCTTATGCAAGCCTGAAAATTCGAATCGTCTCCCCAGAATTGCTAAAGTTTATAATTTACGTACTTTCTTTCCAATCTTGATCAATTAGTTATTGTCAGATATAACTGCTAGGGAATGCCCCCATAATCGTTTGAACCATTCAGTTGAAGCGACATTTGCAAAACATTAAGATAACGATGGGTGTGGGCACTTTGTCGACCAAAGAACAAAAACAGAAACAGGGTTGTTTAATATAAATCCTAAAACTTTTAAAAATTATTTTTAACAGTATTTGACTTGAGCTTTCGTGTTCATTCGACAATTTTGCTTGCATTGGCCACTGAATTTCGGACTTTCTTTCGAAAAGAAGAAGAACTCCCTCTGCTTGCTAGGGGATGCTTGCTCTGCTAGCGGATGCTTGCTTGCTAGCTATTTTGTTTCGCCGAGAATGGTTTAAATTGATTCTCAAATGGCATTACTGCTGGATCATTTCATTCACGATGTAAACTTGGAATAAAGATTGAAGTTGCGCTTTTTTATAATATGTTCGCGAAACTTGACGCGATTCTGGGTGTAGTCAACAATAATACATTTTTTTGTGATAACTACTTTGCTGGTAAAGTATTTATAGAACTATTTATAGAACTCTGTATATACAATAGCACCATTGAACATCGTATTATACATGTACAACAGAATTTGGATCATGTACTGGGACAAAGAAACTTGTCTTATGTGGATGGGGAAGACATTTCGAGAAAATGAAATCGGTGTGAGATGGGAGGAGAAGTGGAGGTGGGGGTGGAGGGAGAGGAGCGACTGACGATTGGCCACAAGCAGCTATCGCCTCACCCGCTGATAGTGAAGCTGCATAACTGACAACTCCATTTGGTTGAAGGTCTTCCTAAAATGATTTTTGAGTTGAATAGATAGGCTACAGTACTGGACAATGCTGATTTTTTTGAAATTTCAAACACAGGAAAACAACTGGATTCTATTTCAAGTTGGCATTAGCCTGAAAGTTTGATATTTTCATTTCAAACTTTTACTCAAGTTTTAGCCGGTTTCCAGTGATTTTTCTGTGATTTCTTTATGATCTCATATCTACTTATTCTTTGTAAATCTAATATAAATCCGTTTGCTAGTAAGTACACTACTGGACAATGAAATATCATATTTGAAAAAAGATCGTCACTTTCGCGCGTCTGTAACTCCCTTGCCTTTGAGTTTAAACTATTAGTGTTATACATTTCCTGAAAGCTCTTTTCAAGGGCTACACAATGGTAATATTAATATTTAGAAATACGGTAAAGACAATGGAGTTACAGACGCGCGAAAGTGACGATCGTTTTTCAAATATGATATTTCATTGTCCAGTAGTGTACGATTCATTTCATAGATAATTAACACTTACAAATGTTGTTGACTTTGAAGCCATCGATCGACTCACGAGATCCATCACACGATTTGCTAAAGTTTAATGATAAATTTGGATGCTTCTCTTGGATTGCTTGATCCAAGAGATCCATGGCATTTGACGCACAACTTTTAGATTTTAAATCTCAGAAAGCGTTCAACGACACAGTGACTGTTCAAGAGATGAAACAAAGCAAGCAAAAGGAATAGAAAAACACGATTCACTGAAATTCCCGACTCCGGGGGTTACCGACGAAGAAACGGATGCTCAGAGATTGTCTACGATTACAATCACACTTTTCACTTCGGTGTTTCTCGAGTATTTGCCCCTCACAATGTATGATCGATTTGACGGTCTACGGGAGTTTCGATGGCTGTAGGAGAGGTGAATTGCTGCTCCACCGATACTTCGAGAGGACGGGCGACGAGAGCCGCCTTCAACAAAAACAGTTAATCAAGAAGGGGTTAATTTAATAAGAAAAGGATTTCAATAAAGAAATTTTGACAGCTGTCATTTAATAAAGATTAAACTATCTCTATAGCTAACTAAATTTTGGCTTAGAATAGCTAGCTTGTTGGCTAATATGACATGAAAATATATCTTTATAGTATCCAGAGTCAAAAATCAACCTTTTAAGTAAGCTGAAACGATTATCGCACATAGAAATTTGCTGTGTGAAAGCAAGATGTGCTTTGCAAAGCATGGAAAGAGTGATGTTAGAAGAAAAAAGGTGAGAATAGATTGAAGAAAGTCTATGCAATGATACCTTTTTCTCAACCTTGAAGTAAATAAGTTTTAAATTTGATTTCAAAACTTTCAACTTACAAATATCTTTTGTGTGAGCATGTAAAGTGTTATGAATTGCACTCTCATCTTCACTGTCGCTCATGTCCGAATGCCGAAATGCGGGTGAATGGAGGATCTCGTTTCGTTCTTTCTGCAAGAAATTCTGGTAAGGAAATAAAAATAAATGTACTTCTTAAGAACTGTTTTATCGTCATTTTGTAAAACTTGCAAATTGTTAAACAGTTATTTCTATAAACAAGCTCACAAAGTTCAAAAAGAAGCTCTCCTGGGAACAGTTATTAGGGAACAAATAGCCTTGCCATTTCACTTCATATTTTACTAGATTCTATTCCATTCAGTTTCCTTTCAACAGATTATCAGACATTTGATCGCCCCGCCTCTTTCACCATTGATAATCTAACTCTGAACTCAAATTTCTTGATGTTGGGATGTCGAATTTAAATCTTCTCGATATCATTAGATGTGCCAAGTCTTTCTCTGTCGATTGGTATAAAAACTATTTAAATTGGACAGCCCAACACTTAGGTATTTGAGCTCAAAGTTAGATTGCCAATGGCAAAGAGGGCGAGGCGCATATCCTTTCAACCACAATCCTTTATCCCACAATCCTTTCAACCCACATCAGTCAATTTGCCGCATTGTCTCTCTCGTCCTTTGAAGCCACACCAGATTTTTGTGAGACAAACGAGAAGACCGGAAGTGAGGGTGGCAAAAAGAAGGAAAATAACGAGGAACACAATCAGTCCGTACACTGATTGGTCAGCAATTGGAGCTGTTGCTGTTTCTTCCATCTGAAAATGATGGCACAAACTTTAAGAATAGCAGTTTAGAACTAAGCCATTCAATGTTTCCATAATCTCAACATCGGATAGACATAAAAGAAACTGCACTCTGATTTGATAGCTCAAGTTTTGTTTCAAACAATTCTCTCAAGAACCTACCAGTCGTCTCTCTTGTTGTACACTGGCGTACTCGTCACCACAAGGCATAAAAGATTAAAGAATAAATAAGAGACAACAGGTTTGTAGACAAATTTCTATTTTTTCTGCTAATCCAAACAAGGTTCTCCGAAATAAACCAGGAAATATGAAATCAAAGGTTGTTTTTGAAAACAGTTGCTTGAAAATCTGAAAGTCTATCTTGATCATAGACAAAAAAAACAATCAAAAATCGAAAAAGGAAACATTTATTAGAGGATTATGGAGATTTGGTCTCAAGACTTGAGAGATTTGATGAACAAAAGAAATTTTCCTAATGAACGATCTCGTCATTGAGATTATCCCCTACATTTTGAGAGATTTCAATCCTTTCAAAACGTTTTTCTACGATAAAGTTCTTTTGTTTAAAAATTGTAAGATTAAATTTTCACTTTTAGGTTGTAAAGTTTGATCTGAATGCTAAAAACGAACTGTTGTTCATTTAGTTGAATTGAAAGATTCTGAAATTGAAATTGAATTGAAAGATTCTGAAATTTCTTTATTTTAATTTCAAGAAAGTTGAAGAAAGAAAGTTTTTCAATACCAACTGTATTTTAAATGCTTTTGAAAGCTTATATAATAAATTTACGTTTTATTTCGTGTGAAACGCTGCAAGGGAAAGAGAGTTTTCTTTGGAATTGATAAATTATTCATTGCGGATATAAAGCATTAGAGATCAGAGTTGAGCAAGTGATGGTCAAAGGTGAGGTGAGGTGAGGATGGAGGATGGAGGATGGAGGAAGAGGTGAGGTGAGGATGGAGGTGAAAGAAGATAAAGAAGATGAAGGTTTGAAAAAAAAGGTAACCCGCTTTGACCAATAGATTTGACTTGCTGGTCCAGATTTAGCTTCCTCCAATGACTGAATCTTAATGATGAATAAATCGTAAGCCTTGGTTCAGTAGAATATTAGAATTTAGCCAAATCAGCCAAGCCAAGCAGTAGTGATCAAAGTTACATTCACGATCACTAACTTTTAAAAGTTACTGAACTGTGAACTAGTGGGTAAATGAAAAACCCCAGGACTTCCTGGGGTCAATGAGGCAATCAACCACTCGTCGGCTTTTCATTTTGTCTTTTTTGCATTGAAAATTGAGAGTTTTTCGGGAAAATGAGGAAAATGAGAAGCTTCTGAAAGAAAAAGAAGAGAAATTGACGTGTTCTCTTCTATTTTTTCTTTCCTTTTCCTCATCTTGTCTCTAATTAGCAATGGATGGACACAAGTGGGAAAAAAAGGAGAAATTCTAATCAGAAAATGAACTCAGAAAATATCACTTCCAGAAAATGATAAACGTGGGAAAATTGGCTTAAATATGCGGTAGAGATATTTATATCAATTCTGCATCGATGAAAAGCTACAAATTGAGTAGTTTCTAGTCAAAAATGACTCAAAAATGATGTGTAAGAGGGGAAAATGTGGATAAATCTGTATAAGCTTATTTCAATTGTAAAGGTATTTCAATTTCTGTTCTAAAGGTGAGATTTATATCTCTAAATGAATCTAAAACGGGTTTAAATGTAGCAAACGAATAATAAACTTGAAATCTGGAGTCTGGAATTCGAATTGTTTCTGTAAACTCTAAGATAAAAAAAATTTTTTCAAGTAAAGTAAAATTTAAAATGATTTTTGATACAAAAAACCTTCAATTTTGCATTTGCAAATTACGATTTCGAATTTGATTCGATTAGGAAGCTTTTCCAAAATAGATAATGACTCGATTTCAATTGTTTTTCAATTGTTTTTCAATTGTTTTCAATTCAAACTATTCCAAAACACTTCCAATTTCTTTTTTGTTTTCTATTTTCATACATAAAAGCATAAAAAAACCTATGCAACTGCAAAAAAACCAAAAAAATTACAAATTTCTTAAAGTGAATGAAAAGAATGTCTTTTTTAGTGACGAGAAAACATTCAATGAAAAGCGCTCAATTATCAAATCCACCCTGACGTTTTTTTGAGAGTTGAAAGAGTGAAAGGCTCAATTATGAACCCTCACTTGGCTCAGTCTCTTTTACTTCAAAGATGAAAAACGACAAGTCATTTTCTCTTTCTTTTAAGTATTTTCTCTTTAAGTCTTCTACGTAAAAAGTTATTGAAATTGAGCCTGGTGAAAAGAATCATTTTAATCATTTTAAAATAATCAAAACTTTGATAGAAAGAATCTTTGCTATTCTCTATCTTCTTAATGCTTTCCCTTTTACGTATTTGATGTTTTGTTGTCTTTCTGATCCCTTGGAATTTAATTTTGCCCAGATAGGGGTCTTTTATTCATTCTTGATTGCCTTTTCTAAGGTTTCTTTCAAGAGAAGAGCTCACTTTCAAAAAAATAGTCTTTAAAAGTTATTAAGCGTAAAACAAGTACGGGATTTTCAAAGTATTAGCATTAGAAATGAAATGATAGCAATGCTATCATTACAAAGTGTAATCAAAGCAGTTAATAAAGAAGCTCTAGGGCTTTTTTATTGGATTACTTTCAATACAGAGATTGAAAGTATTCATGATTGCCTTTTTCTAAGGTTTCTTAGAAAAATAGTCTCTAAAAGTTATTAAACGTAAAACAAGTACGGGATTTTCAAAGTATTAGCATTAGAAATGAAATGATAGCAATGATATCATTTCAAAATATAATTAAAGCAGTTAATAAAGAAGCTCTAGGGCTTTTTTTATTGGATTGCTTTCAATAAAGAGATCAAAAGCCAATGATAAAAGAAAGAAGTTACAAAATCAAAAATTTCTTAAGCTTTCAATGTTGATAGTTCTTGCAACGAGAGCAACGATGCCAAAAAAGATTGGATTAGGGATTGGGGAAAGATGAAAGAAAAATGTTTGAAGAAAAGAAAGAAAAGAAGGGAAAGAGGAAGAGCTTTTTGGACATTCTCATGGGGAAATCAGCCGGCCGGCTTGGGGACACTTTTTGATGTGCTTTTTAGATGTAAATGGACTTTGTACTTGGTTGCAATCAAAAAAGGCTTAGGCATTGAATAACAATTTGAATATAGCTTTGCTTTTTATTATATTAATCAGAAAATATTTATTCAAATCTTTTCAAAAGTTCTGTTGATCTTTGCGTTTTCTTTTCGGATTCCGGCTCACCGTGCGACTCTTGCAAAGTGGACATGTTGGAGCATTTCGATGGATTTGTCCACCACAAGCCTCACAATTCTAAAGTAGTTTATTTTGATAAAATAAAATAGTTGCTTGAATGATAGACTACCCATTAAGATGTTCAATTTTCAAAGAGTTAAAGTACAAGGTTAGGTAGAATTATCCGGTCAAGAAACTTGTTTGAAAGTTTGAAAGTCAATCGTTCCATAAAACTCCTATAATTCTTTTTTTATAAATTCTGAATTATCTTTTAAAAAAGTATACACTTTTCTAGTCTTAATATTGTTTTTTCTCGAGTTTTTCAGAAACCAAAAAAAGCTGAAAAAGGGGAAAATGAAGCTCCGCTCCAGGGTTAATTTTACCCGATGCTTTATGATTCGAAAGAAAAGCCAACGGATTTTTCTTTTCATTAATTTCCCAATAGGTTAAGGAATGATTATACTATGGTGAAAATTATGCGGTTAAGTTGGTTGGCTGCAAAGTTACAACGAAGAACCCTTGTCTTGATAATTTTCCCCAACTTTTATAGACTTTTATACAGTTTCATTTTGCTAGTGCTCATTTCACAAGCTGAAATCACTCAAAGTGCAAGTAAAATTACATTGAAGATGATTTTTAATAATAAAACTTTCTTACCTTCATTTTACTCTCATGATTTGCTCGAAGAGCTGGTGGAGGAAAGGGGGGAAGTGGAAGACGAATTGGAAATGAAGGAAAGAGGCCATTTGGGGAGAAATCCGGGTGGAATTACTGGCATTGGAAGTGGGAAAGGACGAAGTCTGGAAATCAAGGAAATCTTTTGAACTTAAGAAACAAAATTAAAGCTTAACATAAATGAAAGACTCACAATTGCTTCAAGGAGGCATCAAAATCCTCATCGAAGACCAACGGTTGCAATGATTCATCGCCACAAAGCTTAATTAATTTTTTCAATGGAAGAACTGCTTTAAAAAACGTTCTTTAGTCAAAAATCTATTGAAAAAGTAAATTTGCAAAGACTTCTGAGATCTGGTTTCAATTTTGGAAAACAAAGGCTCCGAATTTGATCTTTCCTGCAAAAGAAAACCTGTGAGAGGGCGTTACCAAAGAGAAAAAGAAACAAAGAGGAGAGAAAATAGAGAAAAGTACGGTTTTTCGCTTAAAAATCTAGTACTTTTTCTCAAAAATCCCGTACTTGCAGTAAATGTTGGTACATTTTCAATAGTTCATTTTTCTCCGCGAAATGTGGAGATTGTTTTGAAATATTTGAGGAGGAGCTTCGATAGAACACTTAGTACAATAAATGGGAGTACTTGAGGATAAAGTATCGTTCATTTTTCTCCGCAAAACGTGTAGATTGTTTTGGAACATTTGAGGAGGAGCTTCTATAGAACACTTAGTACAATAAATGGGAGTACTTGAGGATAAAGTACCGTTCTTTTTTTGGTTCATCTGGTACAATGCGTGGTTCAGTACTAAGAGGGTAAAGAGCAGTGTTTTTTTTGGGAATTGTACCAAGTGTACTAGGAGAGATTGCAAAAGAATGATTTCCTGTCGAGAAATAGTGAGAGTTTTGATAGAGTACCTGGCTAAAGAGCCTTTTGAGCACAGCAATCACAAATTTGTTTAAAAAGCTGAGTAGAAATCGAGTGATGTTTAAATGTTCAATGTTTATATCAGGTACAATGCGGTTCAAGCGTTGTTCAGTACTAAGAGGGCAAAGAATAGTATTATTGTGGGATTTGATGTAACGGAACGGTCAGACTGCGGAAGTGCGGAACCGAACCAAAGCTATGCGGAGCCGCCATGGCCGACTGGCCGCCCTAGCCGACTGGCTAAGAGCTCTGTAGCTTACTAGGAGCCCTGTAGCTTACCAGGAGCGCTGTATCTTACTAGGGAACAACCAGATTTCGCAAGCGCGAAACCGAACCAAAGTTAGATGACTTACGCAAGTCGGATACGGGCAACACGATGGCGTTTTTAGTTTTTGTCATGAACGATCTGAATTTCTGTAAAAACACATTTGAAATTTGATCACCTAGTGCACTAAGCGACTGATGAGTTTGTAAGGACTACCATACGCTCGTTTGAGAAGTAAAGTGCAATGAAAAAGATCGTCTTCTTGCTCAAAAATCTAGTACTTCTCTCCAAAAATCTTTGCTAAATTTCCGTTGATAAATTTCCGATAGTTCATTTTTCTCCGGGAAACGTGTAGATTGTTTGGAACATTTGGGGAGGAGCTTTTATAGAACACTTAGTACAATAAACTTCTACTTGTAGTTGATAAAGTATCATACTTTTTGGGAAAGTTCTTTTCTATTTGGTTCATTTCTCTGGTACAATGCGGTGCAAGCGTGGTTCACTATCAAGAGGGTAAAGAGCAATGTTTTTTTTGAGATCAAGTGTACCAAGTGTACTATGGAGATGGCAAAAGAATGCTTTTATGGAAAATATTGAGAGTTTTGATGGAGTACCTGGGTAAAAGAGGGCCTTTTGAGCACAAGTACAGATCTAAATTTTTTCAAAAAAGCACAACTGAATAAAAATTGACTACGAGTGTGCTGTTCCAATGTTCCAATATTTCTATTTGGTACAATGCAGTTCAAGCGTGGTTCAGTACCAAGAGGGCAAAGAATGTTGTTCTTGTAGAATGAAATGTACCAAGTGTACTAGAGATTGCAAAAGAATCCTTTTCCATGGAGAGTTTAGCTGCTGTACCTGGCTAAAAAGGTTTTGAGGAAGGCTAAAAAGGCAACAAAACAATGTTCCTTTAGATTATTAGCTTTGTAATTTCTTTGGTGAGGCAAAGAGAACAAAGTTTCTTTCAAAAAAAGCATATAAATTCGATAATATTCTAGTTCTATTTTACGACTTGGTACATTGAGATTCAAGTGGTTCAGTACCAAGAGGGAAAAGCATATTGTTTGATGAAATTTATCGAGTGTATTAGGTGTAACGAATCTCTTTTTGATGGAACACAGTTTAAATTGAGAGCTTGGTTCAAGAACCAAGAAAAGGCTGAGGACTTTCGAGGACACTGCCTGAGGACTTTAGAGGACCTTTAGAGGACACTGACTTAAAGAACCAATGTTCCTTTATCTATAATATAATATCTATTTATAATATCTATAATATAATATTAGTTATCTAAAGGTGTGACTGATCTGAAATGATCAAAGTGCGGCTGAACTGATGCTTGTGATGGTAGAAAGTAACTAAAAAGAACATTTCACTTTACAAGTTCTCTGGTACAAACAAATTTCTCTATTTTATTCTCCTATTTCTCTCTAGACGTACTTCAACAAATTTAGATGTATTTGTCTCTTGTTTATACCCGAATCAAGCACAAGTTTGGCTTCATTTCACCACCGTTAGGCGTACTTAATCTCCGAGAGAACAATCTCACCCGCACTTGTGCACACATCCACATACAAACTGAATCCACTGCCATAAGTATGGCTCTGGAATGAACTGGCTCTTTCTTTTCAGCTCAACAAGTTTCCCTCTTCTACTTATTCTATTTGTACTTGTAAATATTTTTCATTTAATCTCCTGTTTTTCTGGTGGAGAGCATTAAAACAAGCATCACTTTTTTATCCGCTTTCATTCTATGAGCTTGAGTTACAAAATGTTTTCTCAAAAGTTGCAAAAGAGTCGGATTATGAGAAATTTGAGTACTTGCAGACTAATTTTTGCGTACATATCTTGCAAAAGTTGCAAGTTCTTGCAAGTTCGGTTTCATTTCACCACCGTTAGGCGTACTTGAGCTCCGAGAGAACAACAACTCTCACCCGCACTTGTGTACAATCCACATACAAAGTGAATCAACCGCCATAAGTATGGCTCTGAACCTTTTCAGCTCAACAAGTTTCCCTTCTCTACTTATTCTATTTGTACTTGTAAATCTCCTGTTTTTTTTATTTTTCATTGAATCACCTGTTTTTCTGTTGGAGAGCATTAGAACAAGCGTCACGTTTTTATCTTTTTTTTTATTTTTCATTCTATGAGCTTGAATTACAAAATGTTTTTTCAAAAGTTGCAAAAAAGTCAGATTATGAGAAATTTGAGTACTTGTAGACTAATTTCCGTACATATCTTGCAAAAGTAGAGGAGGCTTTTTGTATTTGCTTCATTTTCTGTTTAGCCTTTGGATAGTTTGAATAAGCACGTATGTTTCGTTCAAGTGTCAAAGATGAATTTAGTTTTCTGTAGTATTATTAGGATGACGTTTTGTGCTGTAATTCAGCCAAAATTGAAAACTTTTTGTCCTTTTCTGATACAATTCAATGACAATTTCATAGTTATTGTTCTCTATTTCTCTAGAGATTCAAAATTTCAAGTACTTTTTTTCAAAAATAGATTACATGTGGGTTTTTCTGTCGATTCAAAAGATCTCCAAGTTAGAAAGTGATCTTTTTCTACAGAAATCCCTTCAGTTCCCAAATTGTGTACCTCAAAATCATCGACTTTTCTGTCTGCGTTCGAAATTTCTCATAGTTTCTCTAGGTTTTCCCACAATCTCCCCTAGATTCAAAATTTCTAGTACTTTTCTTATAAATAGCGTACTTAAACTGAAAATCTTTGTACCCGCAATACGCACAATTTCTCTCTTCTATTTTCCTTTTTGCCTTGCTTTTTTTTTGCCTTGCCATGCCCCTTCCCTAAAACTGTGTACATATTGCAAAAAAATCTAGTACTTCCCATAGTCTCTTTTTTCTTTCTCTAGATGTTCAGAGGGGAAAGTCTCCCTGCCACAATTTCTCATAGTCTAAAAAGCGCTTTGAAAACAATCTCTTCCAAGAGTTCACATTCTCTTGCACAAATTCTAGTACTTATCTCATAAAATAGCGTACTTAAACCCAAAATCTCTGTACTTGCAATAGAAAGCACAATTTTTTCTCTATTTTTTTGTCTCTCAATCAAGAGGCGGAGTCATTACAGGGTTCTCTTTTGGAAAATTGCAGTACATGAATAGAAAATGGAGTTTAACAAAGCAAAAGCTTGATTTTTGATTCTCTACAACTTTTCCATTGACAACTTTTCCATTAAATTTAAATTAACATTTACCATTAGTCTCATAGATATTGGGCTGAGAAGAATGAAATAGCGCCAAACTTTAAAGACACTTTTTGCATGCATAAAGTCTTCTTTAAATAAACGTTTTGTTTCATCAAAAGAGTCCACTATTTCTCTACAAAATGACTTTTAAGAGATTCCACAAAGCTTTTCTTTTGTGGAATTTATGAACTCTCAAAAACAGCTAGTCAAAATCATTGAAGGAGTCCGACTCATTGAACAGTTTGAACAGTTTCTTCCACACAAACCTCCTTTAGTGTCTACGTAAAAAAAATGGAGTACACTCAATTACATAAGTTGTCAAATTTTCAGGAAGATCCCTCCAACCATTTTCTCTCGATGACCATTTATAGATTTTGTGTAAAAATGGCTTTTTTTTAGTTAATTTGAGCTGTTTGAGTTCTCTTTTAAATGTTATTTTGTAGAGAATTAGTTAACCTTTCTACTTTCTACTTAATATCAAACGCGTATCATTTGAAGAATTCTGCTAGAAGTTTTAGAAATTCCTTTGGTTTTCGGTGCCATTGATTCTCTCCAACTCAATATTTTTGCTGCTTATTCTTTTTCATCTCTCACCTCGATATACCGATTAAGAAGTGTCATCTCATGTCGAAGAATTCGCGCTTTTCTTGATAACTCTTCTCGTTTCATATTTGTTGTTGAATGAAGATTCTTCAGCATATCTTCCAATAGATTAATATCCTGAAATCTCAATGATTTTCAAGGTTTATAGATAGAAACTATTGGGTTTATTGAATTGAAAACTGCGGGCTATTGTCATATTTGACAGTTTGAGCAATTTCTTCAAAAGAAACGCATTTTGGTGTCAATGGAAAAGTTGTAGAGAATCAAAAATCAAGCTTATATCCAAATTTTCAGAACGATACAAAAACTGATTTTCAAGAAATGCCGAATTTACGAATTTTCACAAAACTTGCATTTTAAGCAAAACTACTGAGTGTATCTTTTTGGAAATTTGGCTATAAGCCTAATTTTTGATTCTCTACAACTTTTCCATTGACACCAAAATGGGTTTCTTTTGAAGAAAGTGCTCAAACTAGGACATCTCCAGTCCTCCATTTTTGAGCCTCACACTTGTCTCACACACAAACCAAAATCCTACTACGAAAGAGGAATCCGCAAATTGCCTGTAAAATGGGCAGAAGTCGTCAATAATAATGGAAATTATTTGGAATGAATTTATGGTTTTATGTTGAATAAATTTTAGTTCAAAGTCCCGCAGTTTTCAATCCACCAACCCAATAGATAGAAAGTAATAGCTAGATTTATTGTAACTTATTTACAATACTTTAATCATCATTTACTTTTGTTGAAACTGCCAACCTGATTGATTTGTCTTAACTCTTCGGCGTGTTCTTTCCTCTCATTTTCCAATTCATCCACCGTCTTCGCGCATTCCTCAAAAAACGCTTTATTCGTGCGCCAAATTGACGATTCTTCAGCGAAATCCCGCCTCGCTTTTTGCAATATCTTCATCCGTTCACTAAAAACTATTCAAATTTCTTTTTTTTAACTGAAAATCTTTAATAAACAATTCAATAGAAGATACTACCTGATATCAGCAAGACCCATCAACTCATTCGTGCACATTTGTAAATCCATGCTAAGTTGAAATTGAAAATAGATACAAAATAGTGTTGTTGGTTCTAGAACCTTGATACGAATCATTAAACAAAAAAAAGGAAAGAGTGAGAACATGGTTCAAATAGAGGAAACTGCTTGACTCATCATGGGAAGGAAAAATTGAAACCAGACCAAAAAGAGAAATGACAAAGAATGTGAGGTAATGATTTGAAAAAGTTTAGAAAAGTTTTTCATTGGCTAAGATTTTGGCTTTTATCATATAAGCTATGTTATTTAAATTTTCATAGAAGCAATCAAAAATCAGCTACAACCAGTTAGAATCAGTTAACAACCAATTAACAATCAGTTAACAACCAGTTAACAACCAGTTGCAGTTAACATTAGTGAACCAGTTAAAACGATATTGGCATTAGTTAACAACTAGTAAGCAACAGTTAACAATCGTTAGCAATCGGTTAGCAATCAGTTAGCAATCAGTTAACAATCAGTTAGCAACCAGTTAGCAATCAGTTAACAACCAATTAACAATCAGTTAACAACCAGTTAACAGCCAGTTAGCAACCAGTTAACAATCAGTTAACAACCAGTTAACAACCAAGTTAACAACCAGTTAACAACCAGTTAACAACCAGTTAGCAATCAGTTAACTCTTAAGCACAAGAACCAGCTAACAATGTTCTCAGTTTTCAACAGTAAAACAACAAAAAGTCTATAAAAGTCTACGAAAAGTAAAATCAAAAATTTTTCATGATATTCAAAAAGTATCCGTCTCACAGCAAACTCAGCTCATAGTAAGAGAATTTTCTGGTGGTAGCTGGGTTGAGGCCATTCACAGCCACTTGATCAAACAAATCCTGGGGGCAATGAAGCGATGTGAAAAGAAAGATTGAGAAAGAAAAAGGGGGAAATCCATTTACAGCCACCTTCAACTATTGGATGATAGGTGTAAAGGGCTCTATCATCGAATCTTTTGAATTTCTTTGTTTGAAAAACCTGGAAATCCATTGAAATGTCTATTTTTTCACACAATCAATCAAAGGTCTTCAAATAATGTTTTGAATCTAATATCAATATATAATATAGATATCTTTGCATGATTTAAGATCAATTTTTGAAATGATTTCCTCAAATATTAGCTTATTTGGAAAATTAAAAGAATCAAAAATTGAAAAGCTATTAGCTTTTCTCCGCTATTAGATTAATGTATCTGCCTGGATTACGGTATTCAATCTAGAATAGGATATTCAGTCTAGAATAGTTAGATTATGGTATTTCGTCTCAAGAGATCGAGAGACTCAAGAAAAGCTATTAGCTTTTCTTTGCAAAATTCTTAGTTGTGCCTTTTGTGTTTTCCATTGAAATGGAATGGGTGAAAAGAAAAAAAAAGAGAGATGAGTTTGCTCTTTGGGTGCCAATAAAGATCGCACTTTGAGTTAAGGCTGGGAACGAAGAAAAAAACAGAAAAAGATGCCATTATTGAGAATATTCAAATCGACTTTCTTGAGTGATGTGTAAGAAGAGAGGAAGAGACTCAAAGATTGACTCTTTCAAGAAACATCTTCAAGTTTTAAGACTAGCATTAGTCATTTGCAAGTCAGTATTACAGTCTTACAGATTCGATTGCTTGGAAAAATGTAGCCTATTCATTTAGCAACTCTGTGAGTGAATCGAAAAGTACATTGAATAGAGAAAAATTTTGGATGATGGCTTCGGTGTCTTTTCCTTTTTCTCGGAGCAGCGATGACGCATTCATTATGTTTTGTCTTTTTGATGAATATTTGTTAAAAAGTAAAGAGATAGCGGATAGAAAAGTGGAAATTTGTTTCATTTTATGGGGTTCACAAAAATCTTAGGGTTCTGAAGATTTAGAAGAGTTTCAAACTCTTTCACTTCTGTCTCTTATCTGGATTTCCTCGCTATCGGAAGGGTGCTCTCATGGCTCAGTGGGTAGAGTGTCTGCTTCCCACACGGGTCTTTCGCAACTGGTCGCGGGTTCAATCCCCCTCGGGTGCTTTTTTTTCAAATTCAAATTGAAAAACGAAAAAGGTGAGAAGAGAGAGAAGAGAAAGAAGATGGTAAAACTTTGGAAAAGTGTTTCTTACCTGGATTTCCTCGCTCTCGAAAGGGTGTTCTCATGGCTCAGTGGATAGAGCGTCTGCTTGCCACACGTGTCTTTCGCAACTGTTCGCTGGTTCAATCCCCCTCCGCTCTTTTATTCAAATTGAAAAACGAAAAAGGTGAGGAGAGAAAGAAGATGGTAAAAATTGTCCTTCATAGTAAAATTTTGGTTCAATGCTTTTTATGAAAGATTTTGTTCTTTGCAATCGTTTTGAGATCGTTTTATTAGCTCTATGAAAACTGAATTGAATTGAATTGAATATCTAATGGTATAAACGAATCAATTGTGATGTGTTTGCTGGTAGGCCAGTCAATGGACACTTGCCAAATTTCTTCAAATGAGAATCGATACAAGTATAGCAGAATACATAGCCTAAAAAGGTTTTTAAAAGGTTTTTTGAAAAAAAAATAGTCTACCTGAAACCGATAAAGCGGTGCTGTTCTCACGATTTTTCAAACAAATCGGGCATTTATTCGTCTCCAATGTGTGAATGTTTGATTCGTTCAACAAAAGCTGAAAAAACGTTTTCTTAAAGCTGACTCTAAATGAGATTTTTGGTTGAAAAGAGAATTTAGAGCTTTAATTTATCATGATCTTTTAAATCAAACATTATGTGGTGGTGGAGGTGTTTTCCATGATGCTTTTTGTCCTTTTAGTTGTGCTCCAAGATCCGAATTGTACATGAAATCGACAAATTGAACAAAGAAGAGTCCATAACCAAAAAGACGATACATCACTCCGGGAATGGCCAAGAAAATACGCCATAAACGTTGGAGGATACTGAAAAGGGAAATCTCTATATTATGATGGCAAATATCTAGAATTTACTGTAAAATCTCTAGAATTTACTGTAAAATCTCTATAATTTACTCCTTAATTTTTACCCGGTTGGTTGAAGATGAGCTGGTAGCCCATCAAAGGAAGCCAAATCGGCTCCAGTCAACTTCTCGAGACGAACCCCCGACGCCCAAAGAAACGGTGAATGGATGTAACTTCTAAAAATTTGTTTGAAATTTAATTTCAAATATCTAATATTTAAAAGCCAACGTCACAATTTGAATACTGGCGATTAGAGTGATTTTTTTGCAATGATTTTCGCTGAAAGTACGGTAATTTTTCCTAAGTGCGCTTTTTAAAAAACGCATTACTCGTGAGGAACACACTCTAGTGGTGACTAGAGTGTGTTCCTCGCGAGTAAGTAAGTAACTCGAGTAAAATTTGTATAAGTTTACTCGATAAGTAATTTTTACTCGATTAATCGACGTTGTTTTTGGTCGAGTAACTACGAGTAATCCTCTTTACACCGCGAGTAAATTGAATATCTTTATTTGTGAAGGGAATTTCCCACCAAATCAGTTAAACGAATGAATACCTTTAAAAAGAGTCGTATATAAGCCGTCGCTCGTGATTTTTTGCAATAATTGAAAAGAAAATTTTCCTAAGTGTGCGTTTTAAAATACGCATTACTCGTGAGGCACACACTCTAATAAGAAAATTGGGTGCTTTACGGTTATCGGGGGGCCGAATTTTTGGCCAATTTGCACCTCATTTTTAAGCATTTTAAACTTGTCAGATCAGGAAGTTTTAATAAGTTTTAGATAGCTTAGAACGTCAACTTTCAGAAATTATTTGTTTCATCAAAAGTTATTAACAAAAATCCATCTAAAATCGGGCTGTAAAATGGTCAGACTTATATACCGTGTGAAATGGTATATGAGCCGCCGCTTGTGATTTTTTGGCGCCAATTTTTTGCCATAATTTTTGCGAAAAGGTACGGTTAATTTTCCTAATTGTGCGTTTTAAAAGACGCGTTACTCGTGGGGAAAACACTCTAATAAGAAAATTGGGTGCTTTACGGTTATCGGGGGGCCGAGTTTTTGGCCAACTTGTAGTTTTGTTCTATTTGGCTTGTTCTGGAAGCAATTTTATTCAATTTTGTATTGTTTCAGCTAGATTTTACAAGCTAATTGTAAGAATATAATATAAAAGAACGATGCTTTACGGATAACGGGGGAGGGGGGGGCAAATTTTTTGGCCAACTTGCACCTCATTTTTAAGCATCTTAAGCTTGTCAGATCAGGAAGTTTTAATAAGATTTAGATAGCTTAAAACGTCAGCTTTCAGGAAATATTAGTTTTATCAAAAGTTATTAACAAAAACCCATACAAAATCAGGCTGTAAAATGGTATATAAGCCGTCGCTCGTGAATTTTCGCGCCAATTTTTTGCAATAATTTTCGCGAAAAGTACGATTAATTTTCCTAAGTGTGCGTTTTAAAAGACGCATTGCACGTGAGGAAAACATTCTACTTGTGATCACTTTATTCAAATTAAACTAACCGATTGATGATGTAAGCGATCTGAAGGAAGACAGTGAGCGCTCCAATTATCGACTTGAACCATGGATAATACTTCACAAACACTTTAGCCAGTTTGACTTTGAAATCTTGGTTCTAAAATATTTGATTATCTCAAGATTTTGCCTACAACTTACCGCGTTTCCAATATACGAAAGTCTCAGCTTTAGATCATCGTGCAGTTTATCCAATTTGTCTCGAAGATATGGCCAAATTACCTAAAAGAATCAAAAAATAGTGCCTAAAGTTGTAGCTGAGCTTTGAAACTCTTTCAGTGATATTTCGCTTATTTATATTTCATTATATATTGTTTATATTGTTACCAAAATGAAAATCGATCTTAGTTTTGTCCATCCTTTCATTGGCATTTCTCCAGTTGCTTGGAAAATACGTTTCATTCCGTAAAAGTTTTCAGAAAATGAGGCACCTGGAAATCTTTATTTTAAAAGCATTTAAAATTAAATATATTTCACAATTTACCATATTTTGTTAAGAAATGGTTTTGCAAGAAGAAATCGAAAAGGAAATAGAATTCGTCATATTTTTGACTCAAACTTGAGAACTTCTCCGGATATGCAAAAGCCAGATACTGAAATTTATTGTTTAACTTTTGAATGAAACGAAATTGACCTTTGTTAAGTGCCTTAATGCAGGTTTGAGCGATTTCATGAGTGATTCTTGTGACATCACATCGAATATCGATGGCTGATCACCAATTTGATTCATCTTTGTCATTTGTGTCATGAAAGCTCCACGAAGACCGGCCATCTTCTAAATCTATTAATTTGTACAAAAAAAAGACATAAAATAGTTCACCAGATATCAAAAAAATCAATGATTAGGGAAAAGAAAAGGGGGAAAATGGCCTTCAAATTGAAGTGTAGTTTGGAGATTGAGATAAGGGAAAAGAGGGAGAAAAGGCAACCTGATTGAACCTTAATTGGAAGCAAAAAAATGAACGATTGATTGATTAGATATGGTAAAGGATTAGAGGCTGAGACAGCTATTCTTTCAATAGCTCTTTCAATAGCTCTTTCAATAGCTTCAATAGCTTCAATAGCTTCAATAGCTTCAATAGCTTCAATAGCTTCAATGGCTTCAATGGCTTCAATAGCTTCAATGACTTCAGTAGCTCTTTCAATAGCTTCAATAGCTTCAAGAGCTTCAATAGCTATTCTTTCAAAGGTTCCAAATAAGAGTCCATAGCTTGCTTTACCAAAGTTCCACCGATTTTCTTCTAGCAAAATCCTAGCAGAACTATAAATAGTAAGGAACCAGTAGATTATATAATCTGCAAGTTCTCTAGGTTTCTTGAAGTCAGATAAGATTTTTTTAAGCCAACTCCTGAATCATTCAAGCTTTTACAGCATAAATTCTTCACTGATAAATCTTTGGACACTTTTTTTACTGTTTAGAAATGAAAAGTTCACTAATTGACTTACGATTTGCCCAAATAGAAGACATTTATTTGACATTTTTCTATCTTTTTACGCTAATTTGAGCCCGTTTACAGGAAAATCTAGACGCAAAAACTCGTTTTGCGTAAAATTCGTTAAAAAAAATAAATTAACTGAAGAGATTGTGTTGAAGAGACTTTGAAGAACTGTTTTCTTCGTTGAAGAAAACAGCCTAAGGATTAGGTTCGTCGGAAAATCTTGTTTCCTTTTTTAAAGGTTGCTTTTTCTAAATGAATAATAAACCAGTCAATCTATGGTTTATTTTATCAGAAAGTCCTATTATTTATGTGCAAATTGGCCGTTAAAAAATCCTGAAAAGCTCGCTTTAGTTAATTTTTTTAAAGGTTTGAAGTCGAGAAGTCAAAGACGATAAAACTCAAAGTTCCGATTTGAGCACCTTTAGTCACAAAAACCTATTTTGGTGTCTATGGATAAAAGATAGAGCACAAAAAGTTAGGTATATAGACAAATTTTCAGAGAAATTCATTCAGCTGATTTCAATTATAAGAATTTTAGCAAAAAAAAAACAAAAAACAAGAATTCTTGTTCGGATTTGCTTCAAAAAAGTGGACACAAATTAGCCTAAAAATGAGCTAAATGAAATACCGTATTTTCTCTAATAGTAGTGCACCGCAGCGAGCCGAGTTGATGACTATTTTAGGGTTTCTAAGTTTTTGCAGAGGTTCAACACTCTAATCCTCCACAAGATCTCATCGTCAGCTACATTTTCCGATCCCACATCGATAGGTTCTGATAAACGCTTCTTCGAGATTTCAAGGAATTTAGGCGACGCTCAGGGTGCACTACTATTAGAGAGAATCCGGTAGTTTAGAATTGAATTTCAAAAATAAAGCTATTCACTTGAAAAACACAGTCGGCAAGATAGAAACAGGAGAGATTCAATCGGGTAACATTAGAGCTGATTCAAGACTGATTCAAAGCAGAGAACGACCATCGAGGAAGGTTTTTGGTTTTCTTGCTAGGAAGAGAGTAAAAGCTTTAATTACCGTATTTTCTCTAATAGTAGTGCACCCCGGCGAGCAGAGTTGATGACTATTTTACGGTTTCCAAGTTATCCCAGAAGCTCAACACCCAAATCCCCCACTAGATCTCATCGTCAGCTACATTTTCCGACCCCACATCGATAGGTTTTGATAAGCGGTTCTCGAGATTTCGATCAATTTAGACGACGCTCTGGGTGCACTACTATTAGAGAGAATACGGTAGTTAATCTTTTTTTATTTAAAGCAAATCATTTATCGGCTAATTACTCTTTTATAAATGAAAATTTTGAAAAAAGAAGACATGACTTTCCGCTCAAAGAAATAGTTAGCAATTCACAGACCACACAATTTGAGAAACACTGAAAAAAGTGGACACAAAAAGTTGGTGATCGAGTAAAGGAGACCGTCACAAATTAGCTCGTCTTTCTTTTGAATCCCGGAGTTTTTGTGTGGGTGGAATGCGATTTCTCGTGTATCTCTTGCTCAAGATTCGTCAACTCTCTTCCTCTCCAAACCCTTACTTTTCTCAATCTCGCCCACCTTCCACTTTTTCCCGATTTTTACAGAACTTTCTCTCTCTCTCTTTTTCTTTTCTTTTTCTTCTTTTCTCTGATTGATTGATTGATACTCTAGTTTTCTGTCAAACTCAATTTGCACACCCATTTTTGAGAAATCTCAAGGAAAACTTTTGCATTTCATATAATTTGATGTTCTTTTAGTTTTTTTTAAAGGTCTATTTTCTTTTGATGAATGAAGATTTACTTTTTCAAATTTCTTTTTTAGACACAAATAGGTTTATGAGTGGAATTTCACTTTCGTTTGAGGAAATTTGACTCGATGAACTTGCGAAAAAGGAAAAAGTCATTGAGTGGGTGGGGTTTTCATTTCAGGAATTCACCAATCAATCGAAAAGAAGGACTTTTGTAAGAACTTTTGGACTATTCAATGCTTTTTATGAAAGATTTTGTTCTTTGCAATCGTTTTGAGATCGTTTTTTCTTACTACAAGAAGTAAGAACTTTTGCTTATTCTCTTTTTTTCTCTTTTCTACATTCATTTGTTGAATCTTTTAAACGATTATTGAACTTTGCTTTGTTTAAAACAATGACTCTCATTGTAATTTCCATTGAGCTTATTCCATTGAGCCTTTTCTCAAAAAAAACCCGATCAACTCGAGAAAGAAACAAGAGAAAACAAGACCTGATTTATTTTTTTTCTTGAAAATCTTGTCGCAAATTGGTTTGGAAGAAGTTCACTGGTAGAAAATTGAAATTTCAACGCAAACCTCCTTGTCTTCTCAAGTTCTTTTTGCAAGATCTTTTTTGTTGACTGAACTTGAACTTGAAGTTTGGCTAAGTTGTTAAGTTTTGAACATAACTTGAAGTTCTTATATGAGTTCAATCAACGAATCAAGTCAAAATACTTCAAATCATACCTTTTCTCTTTTTCCTTTAATCCCTTCTCTTCCTTTTTCCTTCTATTTTTCTTTTTCTTATATTTTTCTGTCCTTCACCCAGCAAACATCGTAACAACCGCATTTTGAAGGTGAAAACCGCGAAAGAAAGTCGAAAGTCGAAAAATTTACGTCGAATTCCTAATTCCCTTCCGAGTTTGGCTAAGTTGTTAAGTTTGGAATCTAATTTGGAATTACTCATCGAATCATCTTTGATGTAAAGAGGATTCTCTTCATTTTTGTCATTTCATTCTCTGAAACATCAATACAACAAAGTTTTAGCTTGAGGAACTGGTAAATTGAAAGTTTTAAGCAAACTTCAAACAGTTTCTTAGTTTTAAATGATCTTGATCGCTGACAAAACTTTCCTAATCTTAAAACAACTCTAACTTTAACTCTAAACCTTTTCTTTCTCATTCTCTCTTTCTTTCTCATGCTTTTCAGTCAATAATTGTTGTCTAAATGATCGAGAGAAAGAAAGTGATCATTGTTGATTGGTGAAAAGGAGTGAGATGCTTGTGATCCCCAAGAAATCCTTTCGAGAGATTGATTCATTAATTTCTTTTCATTCAATTTCATTTCCCCCATTTCTCTATTGATGAAATCTCCATTCTCGGGAATTTCTCAGATTTCTTTTCCCCGCTCAATCCCCGTTTTGACCCCTATTGATAGTTGAGCAAAGAAGTCAGCAAATTGTGCCTATCTCTGACGTAAACGTGGGAAAGATTTGGAGCTTCATTCAATATTTAATACTTGTACAAAAGCTAGCAACTTATCCATCTATTCATCCAGGTACATTCACTGTTTTGATTCTCACAACTCTCGTAGAAATTTCTCTGACCTTGAATCTTTGAGATCCGTTTATCGACTGTGTTTAAATAAGTTTTTCAAAGATTTTTCTGAATAACAACTTCCGAACGAACTCTTTTCAGATGACCTTCTCAACGGGGCAACTATTATTTCTGCTTTTCTTCGCGATACAACTAATCGCCACAAAAGAAAGTCCCGAAAATTCAGAACACACTTCATATCATCCACGGAGGAGGGTCGTGTAAGTTTAATGATTCAATAATCTCGTTATCTTTTTAAATCTTTTCAAATTCCAAAGCCTTATCCCCATTTTGTTTGCTTAGGATTCACTTTTGCCTTCATTAGCACTAATTTCTCTGTCGCTTCTTTTCAGATATCGAACCACTCCATCACCATTTGTTCTCAAGTTAGTTCTCTTTGATTAACAAAGCACTCGACTTGTCTTCACACTCACTAACATTTCAGGGATTTTGGATGATGGTTTTCTTGACAAAAGTCAAAGACGAAGAATTTCAAATGTAATAGTGTACTAACTGTTATTGAAAAGAGAATCGTACTTTAATTTATTGATTGTTTTCTTTCTAGATGCGTTCACGGTGAAATGAAAGATTCGGGGAGATGCGCATGCGAAGAGGAATATGTTGGAAAGCATTGTGAAAAGAAGAAAAATTGTGCCACTTTTAGAAGATATCGGAATGGAACGTGAGTTTTAAAATCAATCTAGTTTTTTCTTATTTATAAGAGAAGATCAACTTGATGTGTAAGCCATTCGGCGCAGAATTTCACGCTCATCATGATGCTGCTTTTCTTTTTTGCTACGGAGCACTCTGTCAAAAGTTATACGCGTTTAATGTTTGTAAGGAGTTTGAAAAATCAAATCGCGACATTACAATCGTGTCTTCCGTGAGTTCAGCAGTTGCAGAGGTGGCCGAATGGTAGTGATTTAGAATGCAAGGCGAAGTCTCTTTGATTCGAGTCTTTTCTCGTAATTGTCTTTTTTTAGGTTTTAATGCAGTCTCCTTTTTAGAAAAGTTTTGTTTAGCTACGCTTTTTACAAAAATATCTTTCTTTAGCACAAAACAACATAAAGACACAAGGCATTTAAACCTAAAAAAAAAGACAATCAGCTACCGGACTCAAACCAGAGAGGCCTCGCCTAACTCACTATCATTCGGCTACCTCTGCAACTGCTTAGCCTGCGGAAGACACGGTTGTAATTTCACGATTTGATTTTTCAAACTCCTTACAAAACTTTAAACGCGTATAACTTTTGACAGAGTGCTCCGTAGAAAAAAAGAAAAGCAGCATCATGATGAGCCTGAAATTCTGCGTCAAAGGTTTGGCTAGCACATCTAGTTGACCTTTCCTTGTTAGTTGCCTTTCTTGTATCAATGGTTATGCTGGGCCTTTCTGCGAAGATATTATGTGCGATCATGGAGAAGTCGATCCAACAGGACTTAAATGTCTTTGTGAAAAGGTTAGAGGAAAGGAAAAGAATTAATAAAGCAATTTTTAGCCCTGGGTTGGTGAATTCTGTTCAGAACTTCAAACGGAACGAGTTTTATCCTATTACAACAATAAAGCTTATATGATGGGCCCATTGGGAGCATTGAGCATTATTCCAATGGGATTAATTCTATATTTCTGTGAGAAAATGGCTGAAAAGAGACAGGTGAAAATGTTAATTTGTTTTTTAAGAAGTTATTTCAAGTTTACAGGTTAAAAAGGAATCTAAATACATCTAAATCTAAATTATTTCAGCTAAAACGAGTTCACGAACAAATGGGCGAAGATCATGATCGACGAGTGCTTGAAAGATTGTTGAAGAAAGAAGATGATCCCGGTGTTTTTGAACAATTATTGAAAAAGGAAGAGAAAGATGAGAAAGACGAAGAAAAAGAAGACTCTATTGCCAGCAATGTTTAATATTTTAACTCTTTCAATCATTTTATACCAAAAAAAACTTATGAACCTCTCGATTTTCGTACCATTTTTTTGATGCTCAATTAGATCTGCTTAACGAGTTCGAGCAAAATTTTTAGACAGTCTGCCTCTCTCTTCGATTTTTTTATTGTCCAAAGCTTCTTCGAGTATGAAACCTAGTTCCCCACACAAGCTCTTATTTTAAGCTTCATTTTGATACTAAACATGGCTAGATTCTGTTTTGTCATTCTTTAGATTTTGATCATTTTAGATAAAAAATTTTTCTGGACTCGTTAAGCTAATCGAGTCCGGCGAAAGATTGATCGAAAGCTAAAGAATGATAAAACAGAACCTAGCCGTGTTTAGTATCAAAATAAAGCCTAAAAACAGAGCTTGCTGGGGAACTGGGTTTCATACTTGAAGAAGCTTTCGGTCAGTAAAAAATCGAAGAGCAAGGAAAGCTATTTGAAAATTTAGCCCGGATTCGTTAAGCAGGCTCAACCCTGTCTCAAGTTGGGAATTTTGTGATTTATGCTTGAAAAATTTTGAATTCTTTTTTTTATTATTCTAAAAACAGTCTTTAGAAGAGCTTAGAAAAATAATAGGTTTTGTGACCTGATTCCTCTTCAATTTCATTAATAAAGTACAACATTCAATAAACATCCAGACAATATTCAAATTTTCTCCCCTTCTCATTGATTTCGGCATTTCTTTGATCGAATCCCCATCTTTTCTTTGATAAATGCAACCGGTCGATCCTCACTTCTTTTTGCCTGATTCCAAGGATATTCTTCTCACCTCTCTATCCTTTTCACTCAAAGATCCCCCAAGCGGTGGATCATCCTCGACAGGCTGGGAAAATCCGCAAAATTTAAGATCAGTCAATATTTAAAACTTCTTACAATTAGTATTAGCATTAAAAAGTTAAAAATGCTTTGAGTTATGGTGTCGTGACGATCTCGTGATCGAGATCAGCATGGAAATGACCAGCCAGGCACCTTTGTGGGCGAACGCCTATTGTGCGAGATTTAATATGCGTCGCTATGCGTTCAACTCCAAATTTCAAAAATTTGAAGTCTTTGAACTTTAAAATGCAAAAAAAGCGGATCCCGGTGTGTTCCCTGTGTGCGTGCACAATCGCACTCGATCTGGCATACTTCACTTGCAGATATCGTTCTTTTTTGACTCGTCCAATCGGAAGCGTCCATTTTGGGTCATCCGGTAACCAATCCGTTGTCTGCCCCATATGGTCACCGCTTCCCAAAACTAACCTCGGCTGTAGAATTGGCAAACCCAGTTCCGGCTCATTTTGGCCACAATGGTGGGTTCTCCGCCGGTCGAAATGGGATCCCAAGTGCCTGCAAAAGGGTGCTGAAGGGAGCCGCTGTGAATTTTTGGATTCATCCCAAGGATTTCGGTCCGCAGGGGCAGCAAAAAACTCAAGAAACGACACTACATGGTGTTCCAAAGAAAAAATGCACTTCGGGTTTCAAATTTTTAAAATATTTCTGATGGCTCAAGGTGGCTCAGGAATAAGGTGCGAAAATGAGTTTTTTTGGGGTCGGGAAATTTGGATGTTTTTTTCATGATTTTTACCATATCACGATCCTCTCTATGGAAGAAATTCCTGAGCCACCACTATCGTGACGATATCGTGATCGAGATCACCACGGATGGAAATGGCCAGGCAGACACCTTTGTGAGCGAACGCCTATTGTGCGAGATTTAATTTGCGTCGCTATCCGTTCAACTCCATTGTGTGCAAGACGAGACCAACGCCAAATTTCTGTATAAAAGCAATGTGAACGAGCTGCCGAGGTGTGCCGTGGAGTCATCTCTACTCTCCCAATCCCAAACCACGGAACCAACTATTATTGCTGTAATAAAGATTATATCTAAACCAACAATAATCACTAAATATGGGTTAAACTAGTCGGGAAATTAGCAAGTGAAAGGATTTGAATTGATCGAAACTTTAAGGGCTTCTTTTAAAGCAAATGTGACAAGTTTAAAGGCTAAAAGGTTGAAGATGAAGACTCCAAAATACTCTAAGATATGAATGAAACCTTCAGATAATATGCAAAACTAGTGCATGTAACCTTTAACAATCCTCAAGGTGAATTTATTCAAGTCTTCACCCTTTCCCCTTTCCATTTGCATGTCAATATCTCAGTAGGATGGCGGTGTCAAGTGTCTGCTCAATTACGCAACAAAGCCCATCTCTAAAAATATTTGAGCACCATGTCCTTCCTTTCTCAAAAAGTAGCCAAATAATGACGAGAATAACACTGTAGCGTCAAGTTTGTTTGACATCACCGACCTAAAGTAACATTTTGTTTTGTTTTATTTTTTTTTTTTTTTTTTTTTTTTTTTTTTTTTTTTTTTTTTTTTTTTTTTTTTTTTTTTTTTTTTTTTTTTTTTTTTTTTTTTTTTTTTTTTTTTTTTTTTTTTTTTTTTTTTTTTTTTTTTTTTTTTTTTTTTTAGTCTTGTTTTGAGTCTTGGTTTGAGTCTTGGTTTGAATCTTGGTTTGAGTCTTGGTTTGAGTCTTGGTTTGAATTTTGGTTTGCGTCTTGGTTTGAGTCTTGGTTCAAACCTCGATTGGAAAACTTTATTGAGCAAACTGATAAATAAATATTTTAAAGCACTGAAAAAAAAGATCAGATAATGTGGAAAATATAAAATCTCTTACCCGAAACAAAATCTCAAAAAAAGAAATGTCATGAGGTTTGATAAGGAAAAAATGGCACACACAAAAAAAGAAATCTATCGGTTTTGGTACATTTTATCATAATCGATTGGGAAAAAGCCATTATTTGGGTTTAATTGTGCGAATTGAGGAGGAAAATGGAGTTGTGAGAAATCTTGATGAGATTGTAGGGGAATTCGGGGATCGAGATTCAGTGAAAGAGGAGGAGCGAAGGAGGAATCGGGCAACAACATTGATGGGCCGAACTTCTGATCGTACTGAAATTTGTGAAAGTGATGAAAGAAAGTTGTTTGAACCTTGATAAATTTAGATTTCTATAGTTCAGTCGAAATTTTAACACAACTGTGATTAGTAGCTTAAAATAGACACACGAGTTTTACAATCATAGCCTGGAATGGAATTCTTGCACCTCTTCAATTTCAATGATTGATCTAGGGAACTTTTTGACTTATGTTCGCATGAATATCTTATGAAGATCTTGCGAATTTTTGCTCTATTTTTATCTATTAGGTTGGTGAATTTAAAACTGCGGGACTTTGAACTAAAATTTATTCAACATAAAACCATCAATTCATTCCAAATAATTTCCATTATTATTGACAACTTCTGCCCATTTTACAGGCAATTTGCGAATTCCTCTTTCGTAGTAGGATTTTGGTTTGTGTGTGAGACAAGTGTGAGACTCAAAAATGGAGGACTGTCCCAGTTTGAGCACTTTCTTCAAAAGAAACCCGTTTTGGTGTCAATAGAAAAGTTGTAGAGAATCAAAAATTAGGCTTATAGCCAAATTTCCAAAAAGATACACTCAGTAGTTTCGCTTAAAATGCAAGTTTTGTGAAAATTCGTAAATTTGGCATTTCTTGGAAACCAGTTTTTGAATCGTTCTGAAATTTTGGATATAAGCTTGATTTTTGATTCTCTACAACTTTTCCATTGACAGCAAAATGGGTTTCTTTTGAAGAAAGTGCTCAAACTGTCACATATGACAATAGCCCGCAGTTTTCAATTCGCCAACCCAATAGTTCAAGACAAGAAAAACCGAATCAAAAGCAGGCCGAATTTGCTTCAGATCCAGGCCAGATCAAATACTGATTTTGACAAAATCTTTTTGGTTTTAGAGCTTCGGCATTTTGATCTTTTGAATTTTGAATAGCGCTGGTCAAGATTATGCTGCTGAACAAGAGAAAGTCGCCAAGTTAAACAATATTACAGATAGTGAGCGAAGGAAGGGAAAGGAGTGGCCCCGCAGTTTTCAATTCACCCCGAAAAGGCCCCGCAGTTTTCAATTCACCAACCCAATATTTACATCTTTTTCTTAACTCACTTGACATTCTTGTTGTTTCGGTGAAAATTCGGATTCAGCTGGTGTAGTTGACGAGGCATGACCCGAATCACCGCTCTCATCCAAATCCGGAAACTCGCCAGCTTTCTCGTGCATCTAGAAATTAGAATTTTAAGATTAAATGATACTTACGGCCATATATGGCTTATAATCCCTAAGTACCATTATTAAAATTCTATACATAGCCATATATGGCTCATATGGCTATGTGCCACTTCAACAATACATCCAGGACCATCAATTTGTTGCACAAGCTTTGCTGTTAGCTATTCAACATAAACATCTCACATATAATTGTTGAAGTCCTTTGTTGTTAAGGGATTCATAGCCATATATGATGACTGCGGGGCTTAGAATCCGTAAGTAACGATTAAATATGAAATTCTTTTCTTTCGAATAGTTTTTCATTTCACAAATTGCCTGCAGGTGCCCTCCCATTGGCACGCTGTCACTCAGCGCACTTCACTAGACGCTAATCCGACATATCAAGTGGGGAAATGGTTTGATTGTATCTTCATTTTATCCTTTTTCTTCTTTTGACAGAATTTCTACTCAATCTACACTCGATTCGAGAGGTGAGAACAGGAAAATCCATCCATGAGGCTGATTGTTGCGCAAGATTATGGGACAAATCATTTGTGACCAAGAACAATCAATGTCTCTTTTAGGGGCTTGTGCTTCAATGAGCACACTCAAATTATAATTGGGTTTTGATTTGGTTTTGATTTGGCTTTGATTTGGTTTTGATTTGATTTTGATTTGAATGAATTCAAAGGATGAAAAAAGACGATCAATTTTGAAGAGTTGACATTCTCAATCACAACTTATTTAAACCAAATCTAGATTTGAAACTTTTCATCAAGTACTATGGTAACTTTGTTATAACGAATAGACTTTCTTATCGATATTATCAATACATCCCGGACTATCAATTTGTTGCACAGGCTTTGCTGTTAGCTATTCAACACAAATATCCCACATAGAATTGTTGAAGTCCTTTGTTGTTAAGGGATCTATAGCCATTATCAATACAAACGTCATGCTCATGTTTGACCGTTCAGATCTCGCTTTCTAGAACAGTTATCAATCTACAAATTGTTTCATGGAAAGCCAAGAATGTCAGCTTTTAATTCCTATTTGATACATAGAGACTTTTAATGAGTAAGCACCTCATAAACCTTATCGATACTTATCGATATCAAAAATATCAATTATCGATAAGCTTCTCGATAAGCATTGATGAGGTTTATGAGGTGCTTACTTATGCAAATTTGCTATGTGTGAGATAGCAATCAAAGTTGACATTCTTAGGTTTCCAATGAAACAATTTGCAAATTAATAGCTTTTCTAGAAACCGAGATCTGAACGGTTAAACATCAGCTTGTCACTTGTATCGATAATATCGATAAGCAAGTCTAATAACTAGGATAACTGTCTTATCAAGAGCTACGGTAACTTTTTGCAATTACTGTTTAAAGCTTTTATCTCCAAACCTTCATATGTTTCCTTAAACTGCTCGGATGCGTATAGGTCTTCGCACAACTTCGAAGCTTACAAATATACGGCTAAATATTTATATTTATGAGTTTTAATATCTCAATTACCGTATTCATTTTGTCCGTTGTGTGCACGTGCATGTGTTTCTTTCGATCAGACGAATTGGCAAAAAATTTCTCACAGTGATCGCATTTGAATGGTTTTTCACCTGAAATCATTCTCTTTCCAATATTTACTGATTGTTGGTGAGAATTGCCATTGGCAGCACTTGAATATTTGAGTTTTCAACCCACTAGCAAAATTGAAGAATACTATTGACAAACAGAAAGGCGATAAGTGAGCAAGAATGGGAAAGAAAGAGGTTTTAAAGTTTTAAAGAGATTTTGATTGAAACTAGTGAGTCAAACAGCCATTGTCAGATAATAGTTGATTATTTTATTTAATCGAATGGATGAACAGGAAATTCGAAGCCTTACGAATCATTTTAAATCAAGTCTACTGTATCTCTTGACACCTTTGAGAAATAGTGACTAGACAACGGAAAAAAAATCGAGTTAAAGTGAAATGTCAATATAAATCAGAGCGGTTAGTGGAATGGGCAATGGGGTAGGGGAATGGCCAATCTGAAAGGAACAGGAAAAGAGAAGAAAAGAGAAAAGAAATCTTACAACAAGCCGACCATTCTCATGATCAAAAGAAGAAAAAGAATGAGATTTCCGTTTTAATGGCTGAAAATTTCCATTCGAAGCAATCACCATTTTCTTGGAGGTGAATTTTGGGACAACAGTTTTTGATTGGGTGTTTAGCGATTAACAGTTCTAACAATCGTAGCTGATACTGTCGATTTTTGAGCTTCGAGTTGAAACTGACAAAAGCTGAAATGGCTAACAAATTTGAGTTAAAAGAAAACTATTTTGCGCTTCTTCATAGACGAAATTTGTGAACAACTTTCTACTGGACTCTTAAGTACAATACAGGATGCGGCAGGATTATTGCAACCGCCTCAAAGCATCGATGTTAGTTCCAACAACTATCTTGACATACTTAAGAAAGATCTAAGAAAGATTCGTGAGCCAAAAATCACTTTCGCGATAGGATGCTGCTTATGCTCACAAGACTCGAGTCGATTCAGGACTGGCGCAAGCAGCATTTTCCCGATTTTACCACTTTTAGGCCACAAGTCCCGATCTTAATCCGATGAATTTCAATGTTTGAAATGTTCTTGAAGCAAAAACCTACTCAAACCCGCATTTCAGCATTAAGCGCTTAAGAGATCTCTTCAAAAAGCTGATAAACTCAATCCCGTTTACTAGTTGGTTGGTGGATGGATTTCCCAAATTTCCCAGGTTTACATAGCGATTTTTTTAAAATCAAATAATTTTTCTTCTTTAATATATCTTTAAAAATCAATTGTTAAAGTTTTTGAGTTGATTTTTCTTATCGTTTTTTTATTCTTAAAAATATTAGTTGCAATAATGCTGCCTTGTACTTTTTTGAGAACACACTACATCAATTTTGAGTTGTGTTGTGTTCCAAAAAGCTTCCAGAAAAGAAAATCTTGATTATTTGATTATCTTGCTAGCTATGAAAATCAAAATGCTTTAAGATTAGTGTCAGTGAAGAGCTAACAATAAGCAACAATCATTTACCACCCCTAAGTGTTTAATCTCAACTACTACTTGTTTCAAATGGGTTCAAGCAATTTGAAACAATCGAGAAGACGCAAAAACGGGTAATTAGCTCGTTGTTGACAAAGTGTATTCACGAAGAGGAAAAGATTGGGATGCCGCAACCATTGGAAAGGAAGTGTTCAACAATAAGCCCCACCTCACAATTAGCACCAAACCGGTGGGCTTAGGTCAATTGTGCAACTCGGCTAATTGTTTCCTTCAACGAGTAAGAAGGAAACTTGGAAATTTGAAACAAGTTGCAGTACATTTCTTCAAAATTTTGAATCTTCATGGTTGTTTATGTTGAGACTTTCTTCTTGCGCAATTTCCAATGTTTTCGTAACGATCAGCCGGCTCTATTCATGCGAGGGTTTATCCAAACCGTACATCCACTTCTATTGTCTTTATGGGAAATGAAAAAACACCGCCAGATCTGCACAGCCTCTTGAGCTTCGCGCAATCATCCCAACAACGATAATTAGGCTACTACTAATCCATGCGTTACTGAAGTGAATATAAAAAGAGCTTTGATTTAAAAAGAAAACTACTATAAACAAGCTAGATTTCAGATTTGTTAAAGGGAATTTGTGAAAGATTTGTGAATACTCCGGCCCAAAACTTGACTTTCAAGAATCACGGTCATTTATGTATTATTTATATATTATTCAATGCGTTTTAGTCTTCTCTACAACTATTGCCTATATGAAAAACAAGGTTTCCAATCAAGAAATGAAGAAAAACGCAATTTTTGCTTTCCACCTCACCCTAAAGCGTAAATATTTGAGCGAAAAGTATATAAGGGTTTTATCCAATTGCATTTTGGCACTTACATTCTTTTCTTTTGCATCTATTTTCTCAAATTTAACAGCAATCTTAAATAATTTTTGTTTTTTTTTAATAGAAAACATTGCATTCTAAAAGAATAATTTTTAAAAAAAGTGAAAATCAGACTTAAGAAGATGTGAAAAACAGGTGCCCAATTTAACACTGACTTTCCTTAGGCCCAGGCTTACCTAGGCTTACGCTTAGGCTTAGGGCTTATGCTTAGGCTTACGCTTAGGCTTACGCTTAGGCTTACGCTTAGGCTTACGCTTAGGCTTACGCTTAGGCTTACGCTTAGGCTTACGCTTAGGCTTACGCTTAGGCTTACGCTTAGGCTTACGCTTAGGCTTAACAAGTTTAACAAGTTTTTCACTTGTCAGATAAGAACTAAACGCTTTTTTTTCAAATCAAATGTCTATTGAAGAAGAAAGTGAAGCCATAGTGCATCTCATTGCCCCAATCAGGTGAATAGCCTTACCTCTTACCCTCTTTCTCATCCAAGATTCACCCCTAAAACCCCCATTCAATAGAGAAAGACTGTAAACGAATGGGTAAGGCTCGATCCCTCTGATTTGCATAACGGAGCTGATCTGATTCAAGAATTCGACCCTAAATCAACCCCAGAAAGTGGAAATGTGATGGTTTTGGTTGAATTGAAAGATTCAAATAAATGACTGAGTCGAAAAGTTCTATCAAACTTGAAAGGACTGAAAATCCTTTCTAAAACTTATTTATGTTAGTTGGTTGACTGTTAGTTGACTTCTAAATCCTTTGTCATTAGCTTTCTCAGCAAACATAATCTCTCTATATTCAAACACCCCAAAAATATCTCTTAAAAAGCAACGCATTGTTGAGGACAGATGCGCCTTGGATAATCTGTCTTCACCCATTTTCCCTATTCCCTGTCAATCCTTAAATCTTTGAATCATCCACAAATCAAGAATTGAATTTCAAAAGACGAATAGAGTCAAAGAATGGAGTCAAAGATTTGAAAAGATTAGTTTTAAGATTGAATAGTTTGAATTGAATGAATTGAATGAATTGAACAAACCTGTATGCGTTCTCAAGTGGATTTTAAGATTTTCGGATCGAGCAAAGAGTTTGTCGCACGTCGGACAAGTGAATGGACGCTCTCCGGTGTGAACTCGGACATGGTTCACCAATTTGTATTTGGCCTTAAATTTTTAGAGCTTTTTTTAGAGCTTATATCTTGATTAGATCTTGATATACCGTATTCTCTCTAATAGTAGTGCGCAATATTATTTTTTCAACTCCCTCCTGGACCGCAATACTATTAGAGACTGCTATTAAAGAGTTTTATCATTTACCAAAGTAAGACAGATATAAGATTTGTTCTAAAAATTCTTGCAAAAAGAATCTTGCAATTCACGGGCTTCTTTTGACATACACTACTGGACAATGAAATATCATAATTGAAAAACACTTTCGCACTTTCGCGCGTCTGTAACTCCCTTGTCTTTACCGTATTTCTAAATATTAATATTACCATTGTGTAGCCATTGAAAAGAGCTTTCAGAAAATGTATAACACTAATAGTTTAAACTCAAAGACAAGGGAGTTACAGACGCGCGAAAGTGACGATCGTTTTTCAAATATGCTATTTCATTGTCCAGTACTACAGTATTCAACCTTGCCTATCTATTCAACTCAAAAATCATTTTAGGAAGATCTTCAACCAAATGGAACCTTTGGCTTCTTTTAATATACAATTGTGGGCCGACGAGTTGACAAAATTTGTGTCTTGACAAACAACAAAAAGATGTTTTTGCACTTTGCACAACAATTTTAAACTTTTTGCTAACTTTTTGATGTAAAGAATAGTTAATAAATGAATAAAAAAAGCCTCACTTTTGCTTGCTTGAATAGCTTTAGAATGTCACATAAACATAAAGTTAAAAAGGTTTAGATGAAAAAGAAGCACCAGAAATTCAAATTTTCGAGGGTACACTACTATTTTTTCAACCCCCTCTTGGACCGCAATACTATTAGAGAATGCACTACTATTAGAGAGAATACGGTAAATAGAATAATCAAACCTTGAAAGCCTTATCCTCAACCGATCGACTGCAATCTTTCCAATGACAAATGTAAACTAAAGATTCGCTCGCTCCAATGTGATGATGATTGAGATGAGCGGTGATATCAGCTGAACAAGCGAATCCCGAACCACATTCTTTTCCATTCTAAAGTTAGATTTTTGATTTGAGCACTTCCAAACTCTATTCAATCCCTCACCTCATTCACCCATCTGCAAATCTTTGGCTCAACAACTCCCTGTAAGTGACCGCTCGGCGATGCCACCAATCCTCCCTGATACCTAAAAACGAAAAGTAAAGGTTTCCCGCAAAACCGTACACCGAAAAAGGAAAAGGATTCATTTCCAAGGACATTTTTATCCAAGTCTTTGCTAGCGATCTTTTTCTTTTTACTTTAAGAATGCCATTGTCGTTTCTCTTTGCAAGGCGGCAAGTTGATGGGGTTTTTCATTACATTTTAAAGAAAAGGAATTGAAAATTGATTGAAGAAATTTAAAAAAGGTTGAGATTGAGATACCATGAAACGAATTGATTGAGCTACCATGAATTGAGATTAGATTAAGATAGCATGAAGTGAAAACCAAAAAAAGCTTTCTATTAGCACTCACTTGAACAATTCTGGATTGTAGGGATTGAAGTTAAATCGTGGATCCATAAAACCAGGTGGGAATTCATGCGGATAAAATGGTTGTCCATAGCTGACGGATGGATCTGAACAAGATAGAATATCTATCGACAATCTAATGGGGTTTAAAAATGAGGAGTATACTATTCATACCATGCTTGAGAATTGTGACTGGAGCCGAGTATGGATATGGATAGTATGGATCAGCGGTGGAAGCATTTTGTGGCGAGATTCGCGAATTGTTTGGGTCGGGAACCCGTGGTGAGGATTGAGGTGCACATCCATAAGGAGAATTGCCGAACATCATCTCTAGGACTTCAGCAATCAGTGGCTTCCAGCAGGGCAGTTCTAAGCCCGATGACGATGGAGATAGAGGATGAGAAGGTGGAGGGGAGGGAGGGGAATGCTCCGCCCTTCAACTCTGTGGTGGTGGATTGGGCGAGGGGAAAGGGGCGGGATCGGCTGACAGTAGAACGACCTTTAGTTGACAGCCTTTCCCTTTCAAATTCCACCAAAAACCCTAGCTAGTGAAAGGGAAATGATAGATCGGTAGACTTTCATTTCTATTTTGAAACTTTTAAGTCAACAGTAAATGTCTGATCTGTCACAAAATAGGTTGTCCGGGAAAGAAAGACGTTTACAAGATGGGGAATATCATTAGATGGGCCGGTAATGAGAGTCTCACTTGGTGGGGGGATTCGTATTCAGCTGATCTTGATGGAGCGACTGGTAAGCGTTTGACAAAGTTGCCTAGCACTTAGAAATTACATAGTTAAACGTGCAAATATTCCTATTTATTAAGCTGTCCAGAAAGTCTTTTTGTTTCTTTTCATCCTTTTGTTTAATCCAAATTCACCAATTCAATTACGGTTTATTTCATTAGAAAGGTCTATTATTTTTCTACAAAATAACATTAAAATGGTTTTAAAGTGACTTATATCTAGGTTTTTTTGAGAGCAGAAAGTCAGGTAGTCAAAAAGGGTGACAGCTCGATGATGCGGACACTTTAGCTTTAGAAAAGACACACTTTAGCTAAGGAAACCAATCTTGGTGTCAATAGATAAAAGATAGAGCATAAAGAGTTTAATATATAGCCAAATTTTCAGAGAAATTCATTCAACCAATTTGGTTTTTATAGATTTTCACAAAAAACACGTTTATCACTCTCGAATTTGGTTGTGAGTGAACTGAAATTGATTTAAAATAAAACAATAAACAACAAAGATAACAAAGACAACAAAGAGAATATTAAAATGAAACAATAAACACTTTTTATTTAGAGAAAATCATAGATTAATTGGTAAATTTGTTATTTTTAAGCGAAAGTATGAAAAAGAAGGGAAAGATTTTCTGGGCAATCTAATAGAACTGATTTAACGTCTCATATCTGCCCATCAGGTATTGAAATTTGAGAAACTGATAGATTCGAACAATCTAACTACAGAACAACTTCTACTTAACATTCGATCAAAAAGCAACCGACAAATTGTTCGAGTTAAGCCCTAAAGGCCTAATCAACAACCTTGAAAATTGCTCGCAACACCCCCGCTGGCTATTATTAGAAGTCTTTACATAGAACACTACACAGGAAAGTCCCTTGTTTGACACAATAGTGATTATGCTGTGATTAGGTGTCAGTCGGCACTCAGACTTTGAAGTTTTCTTATAGAACTTGTCTCTCTTGTACAAGAATTTCAAAAAATGTACTGAAATCAGTTTTTAGCTAACGAATTTTTGATATTGGGATTATCCAGATCTCAATAAGGGCTATAATATTGTTATCATGTCGGGACGACCTCGCACTTCTCCGATAACCCATTGTTTATGAGATCTTGATGCGATCGCTCAACCAATTCCTCAATCATTTTCTCATAATGCGATTTTCGGGAGACAACTCTGAGAGATCTTGATTATATAGCCAGCCGGTTTTAAAGAAGAATTTTCTACTTTTCTATTTTCTAGAGCTTTTCTACTTTAGATTTAGACAATTGTTTTATTTTTTAAAACCTTGCCGATAAATGATTGGAAATGAATGTGATTTGGCACACGACCGGCCTCGTTTTCTTTCAATTTCCCTCAAATCCTATCCATCAACCACCACAATAAAGGTGTTGCAAAGCGTCGGCGACAGAAAAAAAATCCCAAATGAAATTGATTGTTTTCAATTAATCTCACAGTTAAAGACCTCAAAATCTGGGTTGTTGCTATTTCTAAAGGCTAGATTAAAATTCTGCGTTAAAAATCAATAATGTGCAAACTTTTGGGGATATTTTGAGAAAGGAATTGTGTGTCAATTCAATATATAGGCAGAGATGGACTCCAGCAGAGAGATCGCTCAATACCGTATAGTGAGATGCTCACGAAAAATATAAAGTGGATTGGCAAAGGTGTGAAAAGTAAAACAGGCAAAAAGCAGACATTTCAAAATGGCAATCTGGATCGATATTGAAAGTTTACAGACATTTCTTGATTAAATTTTTTGGCTCTTGCTTAGTTTCTGGGTATTTTCAATGGATCGTCACGCTTTGAAGGCCTATAACTCTGTCCAGAGATAATATTTTGGTTAACTTTTTATACCATTGTACAGAGGACATTTCAGGCTTTCAAATGATACCAAATAGAACTTAATTGGATAATCCAGTCTAAGAAAATCAGAGCCAACTCTAAGCAAATGTGGCCTATCCTATTCGGGTGTTGTGTCACCTGGTTTGGATGGTAATGAAATATCCAGTCAAGTTTTATTTGATATAATTTGAAAGCCTCGAATGTCCTCTGTACAATGATATAAAAAATTAGCAAAAATATTATTTCTGCACAAAGTTATAGGCCTTCAAGTCGTGACGACCCGTTTAAAACACCCAGCAACTACAGAAGAGCCAATTTTTTCTTTCTGAAGTTGGCTTTATGTTGTTTTTTTGGCATATTTTGGCTCTAAAACTCAGTATCTGTTGTAATCCTTGTTACGTTGACAACTTGCTTTTGTAAGAAAGCTAAAGAATTGCCAGAAGAGGTGCGTTTCTATGCTTTTATGCTATTTTGAGCACAAAGTACCGTATTCTCTCTAATAGTAGTGCACCTAGCCGAGCCAAGTTGATGACTATTTTACGGTTTCCTATGTTTCCCAGAAGCTCAACACTCAAATCCCTCAAAAGATCTCATCGTTAGCTACATTTTCCGACCCCACATCGATAGGTTCTGATAAGCGGTTCTCGAGATTTCGATCAATTTAGGCAATGCTCAGGGAGAGATTAGAGAGAATATTAGAGATCCTCTTACTATTAGAGTAATAGTATCTCTAATAGTATCACTACTATTAGAGAGAATACGGTATATCTTGAATTGTACCTGCAGACATTTTTGACCTCATAGATCATTTAGGATTAATAACTCCATTTTGACAACTCGTAAACTGCCTCTTAGTCTCTCACTACTATTAAAGCCAACACCCATGTGCCACCTTTCTCCCATTCAACTCCAAATTCTCCCATTGTTACTTGAGGGAAGCAAATCGTGAACATTGCCGGGGGCTAAATCGATTGCCCCAGGCACACCTCACTTGAAATCCGCAAATATTTTCTTCAGCAGACTTTTCACCAGATGACTCTATTGAGAATGAAGATGGTGGTGGGAATTTTGAATGGATTCATTCACACCTTTCCTCTCTGCTCACCAAATCTAAACAAAGGAAAAACACAGGAAAAACTTAACCGAAATGGTAAAAGTGAAGGTTCTAGAAAAAAGTTGACTTGAAAATCAAGATATTTGAGCAAAATTGAAGCTTAACTGATTGTTGAGTGCTAATTGTTGAGTTTTAGAATTAACAAATTCATAGCGAGGCTTTTTGATTTTTCTGTAAGTTATTTCCCGTTCAGCTCGTCTAAAAACGTTCACCAGCAACTGATTTACTTAAGTTAGAAGTCAAAATACAGAAAAATCTTCACAGATCATTTATCTGAAAAGAGATTAAAGAAATATTGAGTTTGAAGAGAGTTATGAGCATTTGAGTGCAAATTAATTTAAATCATCGGTGAGAATCAACGGTGGGAAATTTCTCATGCTAAAACATTCAAAACTTTCTTCAAACTCAATATTTCTTTAATCTGTTTTCAGATAAATGATCTGTGAAGATTTTTCTTCATTTTTACTTTTAACTTAAGTAAATCGGTTGTTTGTGAACGTTTTTAGACGAGCTGAAAGGGGAATAACTTTAAAAAAATCAAAAAAAACTCATCGTTAATGCCTTTAAATTTCTTTAGATGTTTTAAATAAGAACGATCTATTTTAATTTGAATTGTTAATTGTTTTGATCGGGAGTGGGACAAATGCGATCTTTTTTTTGCGCACCCGGACATTCGCGCACCTTTTTTTCCGCACTTAGCCCATTAGCGCACCTTTTTTTCGCGTTTTAAAAAGCTCTAAAAAGCTAATATTAACCAATTTCTATTACAAATGTTGTTTTTCTAGGTAATTTTAGGGTGTAGAATTCAAATTTTGACATATCAGAACTTGTGGAACCAATTTGAAAGACAAAACGGCTGGATCAAATTACAGAAAATTGTTGATTTTTCTCTTTGTATAACTCCGTCTGTTCGCTTCCACAAGCTCTGATATGCCAAAATTTCGATTCTACGCCTTAAAATTACCTAGAAAAACAACTTTTGGAATAGAAATTGATTAATATTAGCTTTTAGAGCTTTTTTAAAACGCGAAAAAAGGTGCGCTAATGGGCTAAGTGCGGAAAAAAAGGTGCGCAAATGTCCGGGTGCGCAAAAAAAAGATCGCATTTATCCCACTCCCTTTTGATCACATAAATTCAGTCAAAATTTTATTATATCCACCAAATTGAAAACTATAAACGACAAAAATCGAATGCTTCAATTATAACCAAAAAAAATTGCTTAAACTAATAGAAAGAACCATTGACGAGATCTAAATCAGAAAAAGTGCTAGAAAATTCGAAAAATGCTAAATATGGACAAGAAAATTGTAAAATCCTATAAAGGAAATGACTATGTGAAAGAATTATTGAGAAGAGCAGAGACACGAGCACGAGCTGCTTGTTTAGGACGGTACTCTTTGATCATTACTTTCACGTTGTTAACAACGACTTCTCTCTAAAGAAACGACTTTTGCTTACAGATTACAGAGTGATCTTTGATCTTTTAACTTTTTAATAACTAAACTAGATTACCTGCATATAATGGTCTCTTTCAATCAGTGCTTCGGGTAAAGGAACATTGCGTCGTCGTGGCACATTGCTGAACTCTTCACTGACTCCGATTAAAGAGCTACCTAAAGCTGGATACGTTTATTGATAATTAAACAATTACCGTATTTTCTCTAATAGTAGTGCGCACTACTATTTTTTCAACCCCCTCCTGGACCGCAATACTATTAGAGAGTGCAATACTATTAGAGAGAATACGGTAATCATTAATCATTTAACTAACTAAACTGAAAGAAATATATATTTATACTTTGATCTTTATAATTTCTTGTGAGACCGTGTCTCGGTGTGGTTTAATGGTAGATGTCTTGAAAACGCACAATTTATCAAAACTTTCCCTTATTAGGGTAAACTTCGCTTAAACTGAAGCAACCTGAAGCAACCTATCACAATTACTTCAACACTTGCCTGTGAAAAAAGGAGCCCACAACTCACTCAAAACAAAGCTTAAATAATGAGTTTTTAAGTACACAAGCTACGAAAAACGGACAACTGACAAGTCTAGTGGCTGATTACGGTAGTTAATCCATCAGCTTTGAATTTTAACTAACTGCAGAGCAGTGACAATTCGCCACATAATGATATAAAACATGAAAACGAGAAAGTCAAATCTGTTTTGTTTTATTTTAAACTATCTAATTTCTTGAAATGCCAGACGGTGAGCAAAATCTATGCAAAAAGACTTTTTGGCATTCTTTCCCTTTAGCAAGTCCAAATAAAATCACACAGTTGCAATTAGTATTTGCAATTTGTGAGCTCAAATATTTTTCTTAACAATGTGCTGCTTTTCAAAACTAACCGATTGTCCAAATGACTAACTGCAGAGTAGTGGCAATTCGCCACATAAACATCAAGTAACATACCATCTAACGGAGGTTTGAAAGTTTCTGGTGAAGTTAGAACTTTTGATGTTGACGGTGTTTCAAAGAGAAGAGCCTCACTGTTTTTTCTTCTGAAAACATTTTTTAAAACGAATTTCTGAACTGATAGTAAGCTTAGCTTCAAAACTTTTCCCTACTTTGGCGTTTTTGGAAGCTGTTGTTGGATGATAAAGTTCTGCACAACTTTTTGTGTTTCGACAACGTTCTCGTTCAATCTTGGCTTTCTCGTGGATGTGCCTTTTCTAAATAAATGTTTTTCTTTGATTCTTTGAAAGTTTTCAAACCTTGTATCACACATTTCACACTTGAAAGCCTCATATCGATTTAGATAAGTGCAAACCGAACATTGCCATGTGCCATCGTTCTAAAATCTTTCATAGATCTTAATTCGATTTCATAGATTAATGCAACGCCGTCGCTCACTCCGACGTAGAGAACGCATCGAAAGTGTCATTTTGACTGACTGCCCAACTTCGGCCTAAGGAAACTTTTTTTTCCATAAAGCCGATTTTCGGGTTTTTGGGCTCAAAAGATGCGCAATGACTGCCTCTTGCAACCTTCGAAGAGAGATTGCAAAAAAGTTGAAAAAGAAAAAAGTTATGCAATTTCTCGTGAAAAGTTTGTCGGTTTTTCCGATTCTCTGATCTCTGCTTAAGTTTTTCTTTTTAAATCTAAATCAAACAATTCATTCCCTACATTTATTGAACTTTTCCTCTTTTGATTTTGCAAATTTAGCCAAGAAATTCGATACTCTAGGCAAATTTGCTCTCAAATTCCCTTTCAATCATCATTAATATTTATTTCCATTCAATAAAACACTTTCCAAACCTCATCATCTCTTTCCGGACTCTCGCTTTCTTTTTTTGCTTTCTTTTTCTTTGTGGACATGAAGAACGGCTAAAAAAACAAACAAAATTAGTTTAAAGTTTAAAAACTTGATCATTACCTCAACAACAATGTAGTTTTAAGTCTCAATATTCAGAATTTAGCATAAATAAATTGAAATCTCATCGTTGACCCATTTTTGAGGCACTAGACTGAATCAGAATAATTGCTCGTTGGAATGAAAAGAAAGCATCGCATCATTTTGTGGATTGGTGTGTCTTGTAGTGGCTTGGCTATTGAGTGATTAATTTGACTTGATGTAGTAATTGCAATCAAGTTTGTCCGTCTATAAGACATCTTAAGTTTAAAGTTTCTCGATTTTGAGAAACTTTAGACTTAAGGACTATTTTTAAAATGTTTTACTGCTCTTTTGGCTTAAAATGAAGATCGACATCTGAGAATTAAAACCAAAAAAACAAAACAACGATATTCTTTGATCAAGAAATTGTAAAAGCGATTAAATAAAGATCAATTTGTTAGCTTTAGTCACCAACTTTAGACTAAAGTTGATTAAAAACCTGGGTAAACTTGAATGATCGCTTCATTGATTACTTGGAGTTATGTGTTTAGCTAAAATTATTCAAAATTGAATGATCACTTGGTCTGTCAATACTTTGTAAAGCACAAGGACATTTTTGGTGTACAGTCGCATCGTTGTTTCACTGATAATTTTGTGCAAATTCAAAGATGAACTAAACTATTATAGTCATTCGATAGCCCTGAATCTCCTCTTGACAACTAGTACAAAGTTATCAAGAACTTTCTGCAAAACAAATAATAAAAATCCTTAAAAACTCGAGTTGATACCAAATTGTCATTAGTACGGCCAACCGATAGCAGATTTAGCACTTTTTTGACGCCGATTGGGCTGAAATTTTGCACCGAGGGTTTTCGGGGTCAAGGAATTCGAATTCGCATTCGATTTTTAAAGAAAGCTGCTCTATTTTTGAATATTTCATTCGGTTTAATGGCTCAAGTGCAACCCCACAGGGCCATGTCCAGAAGCTGAAGAAGAAGAAGTCCAGAAGACGAAGAAGAAGTCCAGAAGACGAAGAAGAAGGTCAGAAGCTGACGAAGAAGAAGTCCAGAAGCTGACGAAGAAGAAGTCCAGAAGACGAAGCTTAGCCAGAAGCCAGAGGGCTGTCAGAAACAAAAACATGAGAATTTTCATTTTTACGTAATCGTGCGGCTTCTGGCACATGCTCTTTATGGATATACAAAATCTACGCCTAGTTTCGGTTTAATTACCCAAGTTTTTAGAGTTTTATGATGACCGTATTGGCTTGAAAATTAAAATTGCTCAAAAACTGATAACGGATTCAGATTCTCTATCGGATCTCTATCCCAGAATGCCTCTGGTTACAAACTACAGCTAGATAACTATCGTCCAAAGCGGAAGGCAAGACAAAAAAATGGCCTTGTCATTCAGTTTAGTCATCAAAACACATTAAACAATTGAATCCTTTATTACAAATAGCGATGTTTAATGAACAAATCAAAGATGCGAAGGCGATGTGGTGTCAGAAATGGAAAATGTGTTAAACGAATGAGATTCCGAGTGACTAGTATCACAAATCGAGCAAAATTCTCATACAAAAAGGTTATTGTTCAAGAAATGTGTTCAGAAAAACAGCTAAGAAAATGATTTTTTGTTTTTAAGAAAAGGCAAGATCTGGAACCAAATAAGAACCAAATAAGAATTTAAATGAGCTGACGAAAATCACGAGATCATTGGGTGTTGGGTTTGAGAAGATCTACCAAGATGAATCTTCAACTCCATACAATGGATCCAAGTAGTATTTCTTTGGACGACCGTCAGCTTTTGTCCCCAAAGATCGGAACACTTCCTGGAAATGGGTTTTTATAGATTCTTCAAGCCTTACAAGCTTTCACTATTCGAGCTCTTGTAGAGTTCACTGTTTTATTGCTAGTTTTTGGCGAAACCCGATGAGAAAACGAAGGCTTATATACGGCGACCGTTGGCCAGACGGTGAGCGATTACGCGACCGCACAAAGAACATAGGAGTGAATCTTTTTTGTTCTGTAAATGATTCCCAGGTGAGATATGAGGCTAAAAATTTGGACCTGGGGGTTTTCGGGGTTGGGGAATCGATTGACAATGTTTTAAAACGAGGTAAACAATCGGAATTTTGACAAAAATGAAGATCAAGAGCACATTTAATAATGTACTATGAATTCTTGATCTTTTTCAAGTCTCTAAGTTTATTTTCTTCAAATTAGATCCGGCTACTTGATCTTTGTAGATTTCTAATCAAAACTCGGTAATTGTTTTGGTTTCAAAGCGCCGAGACAAACAGATTCAAACACTAAGTATCGCTAAAAGAATTGCCCTTTTCTTCTTTTTCCCTACACAAATAAAGGTAAATAATAGAAAAATGATTGGATTAAATCCTTACTTGAATCCTCGTCATGGCCATGTGTGGAGCACAGTCCGAAAACTGAAATTTTTGATTTAATAATTTCGCGGAGAGATTAACTTTTTTCGTGGACTGGGACAAAGAATGTTCGCTATTTTTCAGAATTTTCAAGAAAATTTCATTTAAAGCATCATTTCCGCGTTTTGCAGGAAAAAAAAATAGGAATTTAATAGAGAAAAGGAATATTTTCCGTACTTCATGATATCAGATCGATAAATTGAATTTTAAAGCTGAATATCTTTAAATGAAATGAATAGAAAAAGCATTACTTTGTAAAAAAGCAATACTAGAACTAGTCAATTCTAAGATAGTTGCCGTACTTTATGATATCAAATCGATTACCGTATTTTCTCTAATAGTAGTGCACCCAGAGCGGCTAAGCTCGAAATCAGGCTGCTTACCACGATGGGGCGGGCGATGAGCTAGTGGGGGTGAGTGTTGAGCTTCGCAAGCGGAACGAATAGTCTCACTCGGCTTAGCATCAACCGGCTTCGAATAGGCGAACCCTTTGAGTGTTTATGTATGTTCTTGAATATCTGAGTATTAGAGGTGAAAAAAAAAAAAGTATAGTCGCCTAAATTGCTCGAAATCTCGAAAACCGCTTATCAGAACCTATCAATGTTGGGTCGGAAAATGTAGCTGACGATGAGATCTAGTGGGGGATTTGAGTGTTGAGCTTCTGCAAAAGCTTGGAAACCGTAAAATAAACTTGGCGAGGTGAACTACTATTAGAGAAAATACGGTATATCTCTAAACTAACATTGTAATAACCCTTTATAACTTACTATCGCTTACTGTATGTTTACTTGAATATTCTGAAGTAAAAGAAACAAGTTTCGTTTTCGATTAAGCTACTCACTTGTATTAGGCAAAGTTGTGCAACGATGACCAACAACACGGCGTACAGAAACCGACTCATTTTGTATTCGCAAATGCCGGAAGCGAAGTTACCTTCAAAGATAGAATATTCTCAAAAACTCAAAACTGAAATGTTTTTGATCTTTTACATTAATACGATTAATTTTTGAACTCAGAAAACATCTCAAATGACTCGATAAACATTTTGGGAACAATGGAAAGTAATCTTTGATGAAAAGTGATAGAAAAAGAATCAAATTGCAGCAATGTTTTGAAGAAAATTGAATAAAATTTGTAATCAAATAACGTCAATAAGACAATAAAATGAAAAAAAAGAAAAATGATTAGAAATATTTTAGTTTTGTTTATGAAATATTTGATATCATCAGCTACAATGATGAGTAATCAAAAGAGAATTTTCTTAAAGAAAGAAGAAGAAAGAGAAGAAGAAGAAAGAAGAAGGAAGAGAAGAAAGAAAAGAAGAAAGAGTTTCAGTAAATCATTTTTATAATTTCTAAACTTGTCAAAAGCTTTTACTTATTTTAAGCAAAAGTACCGTAATCAAATTCTCCCATCCCAACAGAATTGACTCAATTTGATCTTTAATTCTAAACTCAAACTCATAAATGTTCTGGATAATTTTTCTTGAGAAATATTTTACATACAGAGCCAATCCTTTTTTTAATTCAACTTTTAACAATAAGAATAGAGAATCCATTTTTCCTAAGCACTTCCTCAATCTCTTTGTTGTAACGGGAATTCTTGAAAACTAAGAATATCCAAGAATAAACAAATGAAGAAAGAAAAAGTGAAGAATCAAGAAACTATTTGATGTGAAAGGATGGGAAGTGATGTGAAAAGAAAAGAAAGAAAAAGAAAGAAAAGCTGTTTTAAGGAAAAGCTTCAAAGCACAAGAATTTTCGATTGACTTATAGGTGAATTTTGTTGGCTTTTAATTTAAGGAAAAGGTTTTAAGGAAAGTTTTCAATTTTGGCTCGATTACAGCACAAAACGTCATCCTATAATACTACAGAAAACTAAATTCATCTATGACACTTGAACGAAACATAGTTGAAATTATTGTAAAGAAATGATGACTTTACAACTCGCCTGATCCCTTTACTTATCTAATATTTAATTAAAAAAGGTTGATTGTTGATTACAATTGATTTGATGTTGATTACAAATGAAATGGTTTAACGGAAATGGAAATGGTTAATGATCTTGGTTAATGATCTAGCCTGATAGTTGAAACTAGGGCAGATCAAAAACGTTTGCACCGCAGGGACTCGAAGCCCCAACCTTTCGCTCACCGAGCAAGAGTCCTAACCACTACACAAAAACGCACTTAACCTCCCTCGTTCCAGAGGGAGTTAAGTTGATTCCTGAACTGAAATTCCTGAAATTCAAGCCATCATAGCAAAATTATATAGCACTTTCTCCTAGCCACATCAAGCACGAATCTTCTCTTATATTCCCCCTTTCCATTTTCTCCCCCGCAAATAGCACGTGCCACTCAATGAGATTGGTGAATTTTGAAGAATTGAGACGATTCCTTTTGCTTGGATTATTAAAATGACGTAGGGCCTCAAATCTCAAATCTTTACCTACACTTTCCTATAAATAGGAATCTTTTTTGAATTATTTAACGCTCTCTATTAATGCTTCATGAAGTAAATGATGTGAGGAAAACAAGAAACAAAAAGAGAGGGAAATTGAGGATTCGGGAAATGTCTACTACATTGAAATCAAGGAAATTGTAAAAGAAATTATGTATTGTAGCTGAAAAATAGAAAGATTTTGAGAAGTTAGCGGAAAGTCGCACTTTGAGGAATTTGTTGATCACTATTGTAAGCTGAAAAGGTTTTCATTTTCTAAGAAAATGTTTAGAAAAGTTTGATAGACTAAAGTGAACTTAAAACACTTCCAAAACGATACGTATCTCAATTCTTGGAATCGAAAACTGCAAGATTGTTCAACTAAACCTAATCTTTCAGCACCTAAAAATATTCTAACAAATAGCAAAAAAAGCGAACAGATTTTCCCCGCAAATTCATTTGATCGACCATTTTTGCATTGGAAAAAGAAACGTTTTAAGATTTTAAGATACAGTAATTTCAAGAAAATGTCAAAAGTTGATTATTAGCCTAGAATTTTAAGTTCTGAAATGAATTGGATATAGGGAAATGGTGAACTTTTGAAGATTGAAGCATTGCTGGGCCAAGAATTGCTGGGGATTGCTGGGCCAAGAATTGCTGGGAATTGCTGGGCATTGCTGGGCCAAGAATTGCTAGGCATTGCTGGGCCAAGAATTGCTGGGTATTGCTGGGCCAAGAATTGCTGTACCAAGAATTGCTGGGCCAAGAATTGTTGGGTATTGCTGGGCCAAGAATTGCTGGGCATTGCCGGGCCAAGAATTGCTGGGTATTGCTGGGCTTTGCTGGTCCAAGAATGGAAACCCACGCATTGACTTTCTTTTAAAATTTAGACTAAATGATTGTAAAGAATTGTGCTAAAATTAAATTTTATTTTATTCAAGTTATTTCTAGGATTTCTGATAGACCAAATCATTTTCATTACCAAAGAAAAACTCTTTATATTATCTATAGAACAATAGCCCTATTCTTCACAATTCTCTTTGTACAATTCAAAAAAAAATAATAAGAAATTCACATGGTAGAATGGGAATTGTATTTACTATAAATATCTTTAGAAGAATGACAAAATCCGGACAGAAACCCGTAAAGAATCAACGGTCAAAGTATCAAAGAGAACAATGGGATTTGGTACAGTAAGATTTATGAGTGTAAGGCTTCGAAATTCTTGAAAATTTGAGCTCAAAGCTAGAGAAATCTATTCTAGTTCTGTGTTAGCTGAAGAACTTTTTGAATTTTACTTACAAATCCAATTCCTAAGCGGATTGGCGCACTTTACAGTAATCAAAATAAGTGTAAGGCTTAGAAATTCTTGAAAAATTAACCTCAAAGCTAGAGAAATCTATTCTAGTTCTAAGTGTTGGCTGAAGAACTTTTTGAACTTTACTTCCAAATCCAAATCCAGTGGAAACACTTTTGAATAATACAGTACAAAGCTTTCATTAATCTCAGAGATTGTTTTATTCTAAAAATAATCTAATAAATTCATGATTTCAACGGAAGAATAAGAGAAAATGGATATGAATAAATTGAGGAGAAAAGAAAGAAAAGAGAATGAAGGCCAAAGAGCACACGTGGGGAGCAGAGCCTTTCAAGAGAACTTATTTTTAGTTCTTATTGTTTTTTAGAAGTAAATTGTCTTCTGAAGGCTTTATTAAGTTCTTGGGAACTTTTCTAAAGTTTTTCAGCTTTGAAGGGTGTTGTAAGCATGTAGTTGAGTCAAGTATTGTATCAACAGTAGTTCAAAACCAGAATAATCCTCTAAATCGATTAAAGTAACAACATATGACTACTTATGTAAAGAAATCATGACGTGGATCATGACGTGAATCAAGACTCAACTCAGAAAAGATGGGGCAAAAAAATTGGAGTCAAATTTTTCTGTTTTCTTGTTGCGTACTTAAATTTCTGGGAAAAATGGAAATTTTTGAAGAAAAGCCTTAAAGAAAAGGGTTATCAAGTAAAAAATACACAAGTTTTCCTTCAAAATCTTTTTAAACCTTTTCAAAAATGATAAGTTTTGCCTCTCCGCCCGTGACGAGTTTGATGGGATCAACATCAATCAAACACTCAAGAAGACTCCTTATAGAATTATAGAATAGAACTTCTAGAGATCTTTACTCACTCATTTCTCAAGTACGTAGTAAACTCATAAAAAGAAAAAGCTAAAGTAGGCTTAAAGGTCTGATTTCCATTACTTTTTGATCATTGGATGAACCTCATCAAAAAGAGATTAGATTTCAGAGAAGAGATCAAAGGAAAGATTGTAGAGAAGAGATCAGAGGAAAGATTTCAGAGAAGAGATCTTCTCGAAAGTTCAAGTGAAAGTAATCTATGATGTTATTCATTTAAAAATAGCAAAAGAAGAAGTTAGAATTTGAAATATTAAGGAGAGAAAGGTAATGTTTAGTTTTTTTAAGAAAATGTTTAGTTTTTCATTGAAAAGATAGAGAATGATGGAGTAATTTGATAGTCTTTTCCCTATTCACTTCGAGTACTTTTTAATGAAGAAGAGAAGAATAAAGGGGTAAAAAAAGCAATGAATATTTCGATGTGTGAATATTCTACGTAGAGTTTCTCCACGTGGCACATATTCGATTTCATTCGTTCATGATTTCGTCATAAATTTCACCCCCGCTTCACGAATTTTTGCGAAATTTGACGGTTAGTTTTTCGATTTTCGAATCTTTGAAATGTACTTAAAAAGGGGAAATGGAAAATCTGTGGATTACTTTTGTGGAAAACTTGTCATTCATTCACCGGAAATTTTCTAGACATCTTCTAGAAATTTTTCTAATCCAATTCTGTCATATTGATGCAAACAAATTACTGGTTTCCTTCAAGACAAGAATAGATTCAGAATTTTCTATGAAATTTGAATTTCCAAACAAAAACAAAGGGAAACAAGGCCTTGGTAATGCAAAAAAAAAACGCAAATTTTCTTCAGGGTTTCTATATTTTATTTAGAAAGAAATAAAGTGTGAAAACGACATGAAAAGTGCCAGATAGTGCAGATAAAAGATTACAAAGTCACTTAAAATGCAACGAAGTAGCCCTTTTAAAATCAGACGCGGTGGAGATCAAAGGCAACTTGTCAGGAAGCGGGGGGTGAGACAAATGCGACCTTTTTTTTGCGCACTTGGACATTTGCGCACCTTTTTTTGCTGGAAAAGGCCTTAGGAAAGGTCGTAGAGCTTTAAAAATGCTTTCATAGAAGGGAATCGTATGCGTAGATTCCGAATTTCGGCAAATCAGACCTCGCTGACACGTCAAATTTGGGCTAAAAAGCAAAAACGCCGCAACTTAACGCTTTTCCGCAGTTTTTGCTTTTTAGCCCAAATTTGACGTGTCAGCGAGGTCTGATTTGTCGAAATTCGGAATATACGCATACGATTCCCTTTATATG